AAGGCAGAGGCCATCGACAGCGCACCCCCCACACCTTCCTCTGCTCTTACTCCCACCCAGCGGGCTAAAGCACATCAGATGTGTACATGTGTTGGGCAAGGGTTTGCTGATGTGAATGAGTTACCAGGCACATCTCTGCATCTCTTCGTCCCCAGCCGCACGCCTCGTGGAAAGCCCTCTGAGAGGACACCAGCCCCCACTCCTCCTCCAGCTGGCCGTCCTGCTCCTGGATGTCCGTGCCACTCCCAGTGCATCACTGCTCCCTGGACTTGGCACACACGGCACCACTGTCCTCACACAGCAGTCAGAAAGGAGGCCCATGTCCCGCTCTCAACGATGCTGACAGGCTGGTTTCCAAAGAAGCCGAAACACTTGGTTTCACCAGCAAAATAGAAGTACTTTCCCTGCTCCCCTCACCCAATCTGTAACACATGGCACAGCAGTTTCAGCCTCGCCTGTCGGTCTGGACGAGGCTCCAGGCTTCCAGTTCCCTTCCTGTGGAGGAGCTGGGACACTGAAGTGTTTCTCGGCCATCAGGATTTGGTCGTCTGCGGACCATCTAGGCACATTCATTGCCTGTTTTCCTGTTGCTCTTTCCTGAACAATTTTGAAAAGCTTTCTGTAGGGTCTATGTAACATGTTTGTCTTCTGCATCACAAGGACTTCTTCCAATCTACCTGTTGATCAGACACGGTGTCTTGCCAAACAAAGCTGCTAACACGGTCACAGACGCTTGTCTTTTCTCGGACAGCTTCTGCTTTCCCAGTCTACATGAACAGGGCCTCCAACAACTGCAGAATCCTACCCTGGGATTCCAGCTGGAATGGATTCATATGCATGTCACCTGTTTACAGTGGGAAGTCTCCCAAAGTGTACTTTTCTCGTCTCCGTCTCTCAGTGACATCTGTGGGTGGAGGTCCCACACCCTTATTCTCAAACATCCTCACCGCATGTGGAACACGTTCTAGGTTCTTACTGCTGCAGCAGAGAAAGTTCATGACTTCTGCATTTTAGCTTATATTCAGGAGCCTCACCAAGTACTGCTGACTCATGGGGCTTAGGGGCACTGACCAAGCACGCAGCCAGAAATCTGCATGTGGCTTTGACTCCCCCAAAATGTAGCTCAGTATGAGTGGGATGGGTTCTATGACCCCCCGCTCAGAACCTGAGACCTGCGGATGCTTCTACTGGACACAGCGACGTGCAGTACTTGCCAGCAACTGCTGGCTTCTGACCACAGGTGGGAACGAGCACAGGTACTTACTGAAGAAAGCCTGTGTGTCAGTGGACCTGTGTAGTTCAAGCCCATGAGGTTCTAGGTCCGCACGGCTGTGCAGACGAGTCCACATGCAGGCCCAGCCTGGGCCCTTTGAGGCCTGCTGGCAAGGCTGGCCCTTGGCTGGCACCTGGGAGCTCAGGTGTCAGGGCTCCTGCCGTCCTGATAAGGGGGCTCCTTGTGGCTTCCTGTTCATATAGACAACGTGGTCTGTGCCGAACTAGGAGCCCAGAATCTAGGTCCACGCTGGCAGAAGGTCCGATGTCACCAGCCTCCAACAACTCGCTGTGTGACCTCCAGCAAGTGCATGTTCCCCACTTTTGCCCCGAGTCGCTCCCGGCGCTCACTTCTGCACCGCAGCTTCAGGACACAGCTGGGAGGACACCTGCAGTCCGGCCAGTCCTTGTGGAGGGAGGCAGTCGGGTGCGACACTGGCACATGGAGCGGCAGAAAGAGCTCCTGGTCTGGTGTGACTTCCAGTCGCTGGGTAACGATGTGGACGTCCCCGGCCAGCCCGACAACTGACGTGGCTCTCACGTTTCGTTAATTGAGAGAACATTCCCTGTTGATTTCTGGTTTTACTGACTTCTAAGTAGCACGTCTCCCGACACCAAGGTCAGACGGGTCACCACATATGTTCACTGTGACTGCACAGATCTCCCGTGCGGCCTGCGCAGAGGCCCACGAGCCCCCGCCTGAATGACGGTGCATGGGGAACGGGACCAATGGCGTCACTCCTTTCCAAGTCCACCAGTCACAGGTGGCTGTGCGGCACTTGATCTCTGCCTCCAAGGTCACTGGGCCTTTTCCTCTCTCTCTTTGGCTTTGGGGCCAGCCCTAAATCCAGGATGGCGACCTCATCCCCAGATCCCTCATCATACCTGCAAAGCCCTTTCCCAAGCAAGGTCATGTTCACTAGGGCTCAGGGCTTAGGACGTGGGTAGAACTCTTGGGGGAGCACACTCAGCCCACTACACTGGTGCCCCCAAGAACTCTCTTGCTCTGACTTCAGACCTGACTCCCTCGTATCCTTCATTCTCTCTGGCACACACCCGTCTGGCCACCTGCCCCGAGCCCTAGCACCTGTGCAGGGTCCTGAAGGGCAGCCAGAATGGTCTCTGCAAGGGTGGGCCAAGGTATGAGGACCCTGCCCACACCCCTGCGAGCCTGCCAGCCTGCCTGCAGTACACGCCCGGGCCCGGCTTCCCTCGGACTCAGCTCCTGACAGTTCTCCATTCCTCAGGTCTCCTCGGCCATCTGCACCAGGAGGCCCTCCCTGGCTGCAAGAAAACAGTGCCATGCCCCTGCACAGTGCCGTCACAGGGTTGGTGGCCCAAGCATGGCTGACACGTTTCCATGGTTTCACTGGCATGTGGCCCCACTCCTCTGCTCACTCAGTGCTGGTGGTGGCTCTTGAGCTACAACTGCAGGTGGCCGCCAGGAGCAGGGACGCCACGTGGCCCTCACAGAGCGCCCCACTCCACCCTCCACCCCATGGCCAGACGCAGTCACGCGCTTGCGGCACCCATTCCAGCAGCAGTGCCAGGAACAAAGCACCATCCATGGACACCCAATGTGAACACAGAGCCCAAGGACAGGGCAGACTCTACCACACGCCCTCCCAGTCTGCAATGCATACCATGTGCATCTTTTACTAAGCACAGGAGTGACTTTTGAAAAGCACATGAATGAATCAGCCTGGCCAGTTTGGCTCAACGGTTAGAGCGTCGGCCTGCAAACCAGAGAGGCCCAGGTTTGGTTTCTGCTAAGGGCACGTACTTCGGTTGCAGTTTGTCCCCAGCCCCAGTTGGGGTCGTGTGGGTGGCAGCCACTCGATGTGTCTCTGTCACATTGATGTTTCTCTCTCTCTCTTCCTCCTTCTCTCCCTCCAGCTCTATCTGAAGATAAATGCAAAAATATCCTTGGGTGAGGATAAAAAAAAAAAAAAAGAAAAGCACGTGAATGAAGAATTATGCACCCTCCACACCAAAGTGCTACAAGGAAGGGGGTGGGCCAAGCACCCAGCTCGATGCTACAGGACATAACATCACCAGGTCGGGCAGCACGAGAACTGTCCTGGGGGAGAAGGGGCAGGACGACCTGAAGCCTCCAGCCAGGGTGGCAGAGTGAACAGGTGCGTGAGGGGGCGCCAGGCAGAAACACAGCTTAGTGGGAAACACTCAGCAAGACAGGGCAACCCTGAAACCACAGGTGAGAGCTGGGCTGGTTTCCTCGGAGGGCCGGAAGTGAGAACCTGCAGCTGGATCTACGGCCTTTGTTAAACCAGTACTTGGAACTACCTCATCTTTGCGACCATTCTGATTAAGAAATATACCTGGCCAGTTTAGTTCCCCGGTTGGAGCGTCAGCCCACACGGGTTCGATTCCGGTCAAGGGCACGTACCTCGGTTGTGGTTCATCCCTGGCCCTGGTCAGGGTTGTGTGGGAGGCAACCAGTCGATGTGTCTCTCTCACGTTGATGTTTCTCTCTCTCTCTCTCCCTTTCTCTCTCTCTCCCTCCCTCCCACTCTGTCTGAAGATAAATAGAAAAATATCTTCAGGTGAGGATTAAAAAAATAAAAAAGTAAAAAGTAAAAAAGAAATAAAGAAATAGCCCTGGCTGGTTTGGCTCAGTGATTTGAGTGTCAGCCTGTGGACCAAAAAGTCACAGGTTGATTCTAGTTAAGGAAATGTACCTCAGTTGTGGTTTGGTCCCTGGCCCTGGTTGAGATGTGTCTCTCTCACATTGATGTTTCTCTCTCTCTCTCCCACTCCCTCCCTCTCTCCCATCCTATCTGAAGATAAATGGAAAAATATCCTTGGGTAAGGATAAAAAATTTTTTTAAAAAGATGTCTCTAGCCCAGCAGGTGTGGCTCAGTGGACTGAGCATCATCCATGGACTGAGAGGTCCTGGTATGATTCCCCATCAGGGCACATGCCCAGGTTGCGGGCTCGATCCCCAGTTGGGGCGGTGTGCAGGAGGCAGATGACAGATGTTCTCTCTCACACATCAATGTTTCTCTCTCTCTCTGAAAAATAATCAATAAAAACACATTAAAAAGACATCTCTATTCCTTTACCAATTTTATAAATTTGGATTTTTTTAGAATAAAATACATTTCAGAGACCTGATTAAAAACTGTCAGAAACAGCCCTGGCCAGTTTGGCTCAGCGGTTGGAGCGTCGGCCTGCGGTCCAGAGAGACCCGGGTTTGGTTCCCGCTAAGGGCACGTACCTCGGTTGCAGTTTGTCCCCGGCCCTGGATGGTTGTGCAGGTGGCAACCACTCCATGTGTCCCTTTCACGTCAATGTTTCTTTCTCTCTCTCTTCCTCTCTCTCCCTCCCACTCTATCTGAACAAAAAATGGGAAAAAATGTCCTTGGGTGATGATAAAAAAAAACAACTGTCAGAAACAGAAACTTAGTCTAATGCCTTTATTGTCCTAACAGATAACTAGTTGCCAAGTAATCTCTCTGATTTCTGAAATGTGGACTAAGATTTATAACTTAAAACCTAAAATATACAAAACTGAAGTTACTGTTACCAAAATTAGATATGTTCCCTCATGGAAAAAGGAGAAAAGTCCACATTTTGTGGAAAAACCCTCCTGCCTTGTGGTTGGGGGAGGGGCTCGCGCACGGCAGGACAGAACAGAACACTTGGCTGCTGCACTTTACATAAGTTTAGAGCAAAAGAGGAACCTTGTTAAGAACCACCCCCCACCCGACACCTCGCACAGCGATTTTGTTTCTAGAAAAGACCCCGCTTCCCAGTCCTTCCCACAGGAACAGAAAGACCACCGTCCGCCACCACAGAAGAGAAGAGGCGCCCGGATGGAGGCACGCCAGTGCCGTGAGCGGGATCCTGGCACCGCTGGGAGCTGAGCACGATCAGTCTGTGCAGCTGGTACAGGAAGGTGTTCTTCCCCCTGCTGCCCTCTCGGTCCGCCTGCTCCATGACCAGCTTCGGGTCCACCTACAGGGCACAAAAGGACCTGTTACGCTCGGCACTGGGCGTAGAGTAAAACAAGATGAATAAAAAATTACATGCACACACACACATGCAAGGAAGCAGAAAGTATTGCGTTTTCCAGAAAATGTCTATAGAAGGAGTCTCCACTCTCACACACACCCATGGATCTGATCCTGCATCTGCAAATCCCCTTCAACAACATGCACTCCTGACCCAGGAATCCCCGCCCCGCCTCACGTGCAGGCGTGACAGTGACTTCGCTACCGGCACACAAAGGGCACACAAAGCACGTGTGTTTTCCAACACACTGATCAACCCCACATGAGATTCTGCTAAGAGCTGCGCATGCGGAGCCTGCAGGGAGGGGGCTGGGCTGCTGCCCCGGGGCCCTGGTGCTGACAAGGGAAGCGGGTCAAGGGCACACGGAGAAGGCTCATGGCAGACACCAGAAGGGAGAATACCTAACTTGCTGGAGGGCGAGGGACTAGTCAGCTTGCTTGATTTACAAAGACATCCCGGCTCTAGAATTAAAGCTTAAAATTCTTCCCTGGGTTCCTTTCCCTGAAATCACATTCCATTGAATTTTCTAAACCTCACATACAGGAGATGCCAAGGCCTGCCCTGGCCCACAGCTGCCATGGGCTGAAATGTGCCCCCAGGTTCATCTGCCAAGGCCCTGACGTCCGTGAGGCGATACCAGGAGGGCGAGCAGGGCTGGACGGCATCATGAGGGTGGGACCCTTGACAGGTGAGTACCCAGAGAAGAGGAAGGGACCACAGTTGTCCTTGCCACACAGAAGGGGGCCGTCTACAAGCCGAAACAGGTGCCTCACCAGACCCTGACCACGCTGGCACCCTGGTGTCCAACTTCCAGCCTCTCGAACTACAGGAAAGGAACCGTCTTCCGCGTGAGCCACCGTGGACGCAGTGCTGCTGTGACAGCGCGCAGACGGAGACGACAGCCGGTGGACCCTACACGCTGACCCAGACAGTCCTGCCTGTTCTACTCCAGGTCCCAGGGCCTGACCGGGGCCGGACTTCCCCGAGGCACCACCTGGAGTGTCCTCGTTGACCAAAGAAGCCCCTTGCCTGCAGTGCCCCTGCTCTCGGCACCCTCCAGAGGCCGTGCGGAGCCGCCCAGTCCCTCGAGCGGCCTGTCCCCCTGGCGCTGGTGGCCGGCGCTCACACCCGTCCCACTGCTCACTCGCCTGGTTCCACTCGTACGGCTTTTCAGGCCACTTAGGGACGATTCTCTCTCTTGGCTTCAACTGACAGAACAAGCTGAAATTCAAAGAAGAGAATGAAGTCATCCCAGTGTTACGTCATCACTGAAAACACCCCTGTGATTTCTCGAAGGAGAATCAACCCTCGTGCTTCCCCTCAGAACTGCAACCACAGTGAATTTAACAGGTCACAGTGTGCCGAGGTTTGACCAGAGGACATTCTAATCCCAACACTCGGACACAGGCCGCCAAGGCCGACCTACCTCTGCACCCCCTCAATGACGGTGCAGGCTGCCCACAAGTTAGCCCGGGCAATAGAGCTGGCACCTAAGGCCGTGGTGACAGTGGGGACACCACGGGCTCTGATCGGGCTCCGGTCACTCAGCCCCTTCACTTTGTGCACACACACAGACGTGACCTGTGTGCCTTACAGGTACCTTATCTGTGATGTATGCTAAACGTCAACACAAAGTTTATGCAGAAGTATTTTCATGAAGAAAAGTGAGGACAGAAAACTAAAATTAGCCTTTCTCACAACTGCTAAGACAGCTTTGTACACTGAATACCTCCCCTAAAGGGCTCACAGAACTGAGAAAAAGCCACCCAAAATGCGACCAGACCACACCTGCTCATGCATAACTCAAGTCCAGCAGCTCAGGAGCTCTCAGCAAGGAGGAGCCTGCCACCAGCCTGGGAGCCGCATGAGGCGGGAGTGCAGCCTGGGTGTGCTGGCAGCCGATGTACAGGCCTGGGTGTGCTGGCCTGGGAGTGCTGGCCTGGGTGTGCTGGCCTGGGTGTGCAGGCCTGGGAGTACTGGCAGCCGGTGTGCAGGCCTGGGTGTGCTGGCCTGTGTGTGCAGGCCTGGGTGTGCTGGCCTGTGTGTGCTGGCAGCCGGTGTGCAGGCCTGGGTGTGCTGGCCTGTGTGTGCAGGCCTGGGTGTGCTGGCCTGTTGTGTGCTGGCAGCCGGTGTGCAGGCCTGGGAGTACTGGCCTGGGTGTGCTGGCCTGGGTGTGCTGGCCTGGGTGTGCAGGCCTGCGAGTACTGGCAGCCGGTGTGCAGGCCTGGGTGTGCTGGCCTGTGTGTGCTGGCCTGGGTGTGCAGGCCTGGGAGTGTAGGCCTTGGTGTGCTGGCCTGGGTGTGCTGGCCTGGGAGTGCTGGCAGCCAGTATGAAGGCCTGGGTGTGCTGGTCTGTGTGTGCTGGCCTGTGTGTGCAGGCCTGGGAGTGCAGGCCTGGGAGTGCAGGCCTGGGTGTGCTGGCCTGTGTGTGCAGGCCTGGGAGTGCAGGCCTGGGAGTGCAGGCCTGGGAGTGCAGGCCTGGGAGTGCTGGCAGCCGGTGTGCAGGCCTGGGTGTGCTGGCCTGGGTGTGCTGGCCTGGGTGTGCAGGCCAGGGAGTGTTGGCAGCCGGTGTGCAGGCCTGGGAGTGCTGGCAGCCGGTGTGCAGGCCTGGGTGTGCTGGCCTGGGTGTGCTGGCAGCCTGTGTGCTGGCCTGGGTGTGCAGGCCTGGGTGTGCTGGCAGCCAGTGTACAGGCCTGGTTGTGTTGGCCTGGATGTGCTCACCTGGGTGTGCTGGCAGCCAGTGTGCTGGCCTGGGTGTGCAGGCCTGGGTGTGCAGGCCAGGGAGTGTTGGCAGCCAGTGTGCAGGCCTGGGAGTGCTGGCAGCCGGTGTGCAGGCCTGAGTGTGCAGGCTTGGGTGTGCAGGCCTGGGAGTGCTGGCAGCTGGTGTGCAGGCCTGGGAGTGCTGGCCTGGGTGTGCAGGCCTGGGAGTGCTGGCAGCCGGTGTGCAGGCCTGGGTGTGCTGGCAGCCAGTGTACAGGCCTGGTTGTGTTGGCCTGGGTGTGCTCGCCTGGGTGTGCTGGCAGCTAGTGTGCTGGCCTGGGTATGCTGGAAGCCAGTGTGCTGGCCTGGGTGTGCAGGCCTGAGAGTGCTGACAGCCGGTGTGCAGGCCTGGGTGTGCTGGCCTGGGTGTGCTGTCCTGGGTGTGGTGGCAGCCTGTGTGCTGCTCCCACCTTGCCCCAGCCCCTCCCCTACCTCCTCTGCGTCCTCCAGTCCAACCCACTGGTGCCTTGCCCTTGGGATCCGGCTGTGTCTGGCAAAGGGGGTCCAGCCAAGAGTGACAGGAAGGCAGTCAGAATGCTTATCCCTGATCTCCTTCCCCGGGGGAGGCTCCACAGAAAGCTGGTGCCTGTGTCAGACACCTCCCAGATGCCACCTCCAGCCCTGGAGTGCACCTCAGCGATGAGTCAGTCCATCATGCCCCCAATAGCGTGGAGCACGGTCAGACAGCTAGAGAGAGCTGGGGGGAGGGGACACGCCCAGGCCATCGCACTCACCCCAGAAGTTTCTGACGAACGCTATCCTGTAACTGTGAGATTCTTTCTGGCCCGAGACACCTGGAGCCGTTCGGTCCATCACACACTAGCTTGTTAATAGCGGCCCTGAGAATATTAATCTGTAAATAAATAGCAACAGAAATACTCATATGGTTCTGTAACTGAGTTTCAGTCCACATTTAAATCACTCAGACACACTTGGAGTTCATGGCTACCATCAGCACAGCCCTGAGACAATTATTAAAACACAAGTCACACCATTAGAACTTAAGAAACAGTAACAAAAGAAAAAATTAAAAATTGGCAAGAAACGTTCTGTTTAGTGTAAGCCCATGTTTATTTATTTACCCTCACCCAAGGACATTTTTGCATTTATCTTCAGATAGAGCTGGAGGGAGAGAGGAAGGAAGAGAGAGAGAAACATCAATGTGAGAGAGACATAGACTGGCTGCCACCCACACAACCCCAACTGGGGCCGGGGACAAACCACAACTGAGGTATGTGCCCTTAGCGGGAACCGAACCTGGGACTCTGGTCCGCAGGCTGATGCTCTAACCACTGATCACAACCAGCCAGGGCTATAAGCCCATGTTTTAAGCCTCTGTCTCAAACTCAAACCTGGCTAAACTGGGTGGTCCCAGCCTGGTGCCGGGACCGCAGAGGCTCCTCTCTCTGGGGCATCCGGGAGCCCGAGCAGCAGCTCCCCAGGTGTACCACGCCTGTCTGCCAGGAGCCTGCAGAGCTGCCAGCCCTGCACCTGCCCAGCACCCCGCAGGGCAGCTTTGCTCAGGGAAGCCGGCCTTTCCTGCACCCTCACCACTGACCTGTCAGCCCAGAGGTCAGCGCTGCCAGAAGCCCCATGAACAGAACGTGGAGCCGAGCCCAGCTGCTCTCACCTCACTAGTGCGGTTCACACTCACCCCCTTGCCATCCCTTGGGAAGGGCACCTCGATGCCGCGTCCCTTTGTGAACTGCACGCCTGCAGCCAGCAGGCACACTCAGGTGGCCCTTTGCCTGTCAGATCTCTGGGATAAATCCTCAGCAGTGGGCTGCTGGGTCTTGGGGCAGGTGCGTGTTTAACTTTTAAAAGCGTTCTCTTCCAAACTTCCCGTTCTGCCTTCCCACCGGCGATGCACAGAGTGCTCTGCTCCATGTCCTTGCCAGCTGGTCACCGGCAGGTGTCGGGACTCTGGCCATCCTAACAGGTGTGCAGAGGTGTGTCACTGTGGCCTTAACTTGCATTTTAACTTGCATTTTCCTAGTGACATATGATGCTGAGCAACTTTTTACATATCCGCTGCCATCCATGTTTCAATTTAACTGCTTGTTTTATAAACTGAGTGTTAGAGTCCTTTATATATTATGGATAAAAGTCCTTTATCGAATATTTGATTTGTAAATTTCTTATCCTAGTGTGTAGCATATCTTTCTGAATAGACTTTTACAGAGCATAAGATTTTAATTGTGACAAAGTCCAACGTAACAACTTTTTTCACAGATCAAGCTTTTGGTGTCGAATCTAAGAATTCACTGCCAATTCCAAAGTCACACACATTTTGTCCTATATTTACATCTGCGAGTTTATAGTTTAACATTTCATAATTCAACCTATTATCTAAAAAGTATTTTCAAGCCTAAACCTCTCTTTATGTGAAAGAGCAGTCAAGTTAAACCAACAACACAAAATGCAGCACTTGCCCAACAATCCTTGTGGTGGTGGCAGCTGGCGTGGCACAGTTGTGACTGAGCTGCGTGCCTGGGGGGCAGGTGCCAAGCCCTGGCCTGGCCTCAGTGTGCCCCAGAACTCTGCACCCCGATGCTACGTGGTGCCGCGCCCGTCCCGCTGGGACGATGAAGTACTTCCCGGGCCGTGTGCTCACTGCCCCTGGCAGCAGGACTGAGCCCCTGCGGCAAACAGGTCTTGACGGAAGACAGTGTGTGGCCCCCTGACCAGAGCTTCTGTCCCGGAGACTCCTGACCGAGACCAACAGGAAGCCCCGCTGGGCTGAGCGACTGTTTCCGGCCAATGCTCACTCGGTGTACGTCCTGGAGGGTTCTATGTGGCCCACAGAACCAGGCCATGACTACCTTCACCTGCTCCTGGTGGTGGAGGGGTGATGTGTTCACTGTGTGAACTGTTAACAAGCTGGACCGAGATCCGCCAGGAGCCTGGGTCTCCGCTAGCCTGTTTGGTGTCTGCAGAGCTGTCCAGGAATCTGGTCTCGTTAGGTTCAAAAGCCATGTGACCAGGACGGTGAAGGGTTTGGAGTGCATCCTGGCCAAGCTGCAAGGTGAGGCCCTTCCCAAGTCCTCGCTGAGAAGCCAAGGAAGCCGAGGAGGCGGCCAAGCAAACGGCACTGGCAGGAACAGAAGGCCGAGGACTGAGCTAGCGAGGAGCCACCACGCAGCAGCACACGACCACCCGGTGCACGCCCTCCCCCTCCTCCTTGGCACTTTATTAAAAGTCAACATCTAGCCCAGCCAGTTTGACTCAGAAGTTATCGAGCATTGGCCCGCGGACCAATGAGTCCTGGGTTTGATTCTGGCCAAGGGCACGTGCCTTGGATGCGGTTCATCTTGGGCCCCATTTGGGGTCATGTGGGTGGTAACCAATCGATGTGTCCCTCTCACATCAATGTTTCTCTCTCTCTCTCCCCCTCCCACTGAGGATAAATGTAAAAATATCTTCGGGTGAGGATTAAAAAAAAATAGACCCTCAATAAGTATCTGTGGGGATGTTTTAAATGAAGAGAACTCAGCCAGCGGTGCCCTGGAGCCCAGACAAGTGCATCTCACCAGCGCCCTGTCGTCGCTCCCTCCCCATGGTTCGCACCCTCACCCACTTCCTGGGCCTCACAGGGAGCGGAGGCGCGTGCTCTGGAGCAGAGCTACTCGACTCCGCGGTGAAGGATCAGCTGCACAAAGTTTCCAAAGTGCAGCAAACCAAGCTACTCAAACAAGGAGACGTGAAGACCAAACAAAGCCCACAGCACAAGCCCAAACCCCTCATCGGGTTCGCAGGCTGGAAAACCACCAGGTCCACCTGCGCGGCTTCTAAGTGCTGCCCCCACCACAGCACAGGCGTCTGGGCCACAGCTGTCCCGCTGCCCACTGGCTCAGCCAGCCTGCACTGCACCCAGACGGCACGGCAGGGCCTGGCCTGTTTCCTGACATGACCTAGGCCTGCCTCGGGCGGACACGGGACTGACACAGCCGTGCTGGGCTCAATCCATCGCCCAGCAGACCGTGATGGAGACCAGCGGCCTGGCACAGCGGAGCTCGGTCACGGGCAGGGAGGGCCAGGCCTGCGGTAAAGCTCCATGCAGATTCATGCTCCTTGCTGGACGGGGCCACACAGGACGAGAGTGAGCAGGACCTGCGGCCTCACCTCCACGACGTCCTCCACGCTGAACTGAACGTCGAACGCGAGCTCCATGTCGTGCTCCGGCAGGATGGGCGCCCCTGTGGTGGGGTTGCACCCCAAACCACAAAGGACTCCAGTGTAGCACTTCCCGTCCCGGTCAACCCTGAACACGAAGTGTGAGAGAAGGCAGTGATCACACGGGAGCGCCCCAGCTCCGTCCCCCGTGACCCGACCCGTGAGAGCACCCTGAGTGCTCCAGCCCTCGTGCAGCCACTGATCTCAGGCTGGGTCCACGGTTATAAACTAAATGTTCTACCGACCCATCGCTCCGAGTCCTCATTCTCGCTGACTCAGGTGAGCTGGCGCAGGAACCTTTCTATCACATGCAGTTTCCCGCCGCAGAAGTCTCCCGTGGGCCGCGTTCCCAGTGAGACTTCTGGGGAAGAGGCACCCACTTCTCAGTGGTGCTCAGTAAAAGCTTACAGTGTCTGTGCACCCTCCCCTCCCACCATGGACAGCTCACACACAGGTCAGGGTGACCCTGTCCCCACACACTCCCCTCCCCTCCCACCATGGACAGCTCACACACAGGTCAGGGTGACTCTGTCCCCACACACTCCCCTCCCTTCCCACCATGGACAGCTCACACACAGGTCAGGGGTGACCCTGTCCCCACACACTCCCCCCCTCCGAGCACCAGTGCCTGTCCCCATCCCCCATGGTCCGCAGTCTGGGCCTCTCCTCCACCACCCGCGCCTGTCCACACCCCATCTCCTGCGTGCTGACACGTTCCCGTCCCCTCCTGCTTCCTCCACCCATGTCCACAGCGAGGGCCAGCTTTCCAAACAAAGCCGCCAGCTCCCTTCCTCTGGGAGAACTGGCTGCCTCGCGCTGTGGCCACCAGGCCTCCAGCGGGCTCGGCCCAGCGCCCTGCCGGCTCCCGTCCTCTGCAGCAGCTCTCCCGTCCCCGGCAGGCCCCTCTTCAGTGAGTGCAGGCTCCCCCGGCGGGACCGCCCCCCCGCCTGCTGGCCAGGCTCTGTCTCAGCCCATCATGGGTTCAACAGATCGTTATAAAACGAGGAAACACATTAATATTGAATATCTTTGAAAAAATTTTGCTAATGTTCTCTGACTTAACTAAGACCTTCTCCTGTCATCTGAGCTCAGTGAAGTTTTGATGAAATAATCCAGGCAGAGTTATCTTCTTAATCTTAAAGATATGCACACACACACACACACACACACACACACACTTTTTCACTTTAATGAAAATCAGAAAGAGTCCCACTTCACATAAACTCAAAGAAGAGAGACTCAGTATTCAGACTTATAAATTCAGTGCTGACCTCAAGGCCCAGCTGGGGTGACCAGGGAGGCTGTGCCACTGCATCCTACAGGACACCTACTACAACAGGCCACTCTACCAAGGCTAGGAAACATAGCAACTCTATCAAATACAGAGAAACAATCAGAGGGAGGCAGCCAAAATGAAGAGACAAAGAAACATGTCCCAGCCCTGGCCGGTTTTTCTCAGTCGTTAGAGCGTCAGCCTGCGGTCCAGAGAGACCCGGGTTTGGTTCCCACTAAGAGCATGTACCCTGGTTGCAGTTGGTCCCTGGCCCTGGTTGGGTCGTGTGGGTGGCAGCCACTTGATGTGTCCCTTTCACGTCGGTGTTTCTCTCTCTCTCTCTCTTCCACTCTATCTGAACAAAAAATGGAAAAAATGTCCTCAGGTGAGGATAACAAAAAAAAAAAAAAGAAAGAAACAAGTCCCAAATGAAAGAACAAAACAAAACTCCAGGAAGAGAACTAAACATAACAAAGATAAGCAATCTAACAGATGCAGAGTTCAAAACACTTGTATTATAAGGATGTTCAATGAACTTAGTGAGAACATCAAGGAATTTAGTGAGGGCCTCAACAGCATAGAAAAAGACCAGTCAAAAATGAAGGAGGCACTAACTGAAATAAGGAATAATTTACAGAGAATCAACAGTAGAGTAGGTGAAGCCAAGAATCAAACCATCAATGTGGAACATTAAGGAAGCAAAACACACCCAATCAGAACAGCAAAAAGAAAAAAAGAATCCAAAAAAATGAGGACAATATAAGAAGCCCGTGACAACTTCAAGTCTACCAATATTCACATTATGGGGGAGGCAGAAGGAGAAGAGAGAAGGCAAGAACTTGAAACCCTGTTTGAAATAATAATGACAGAAAACTTCCCTAACCTGGTGAAGGAAACAGACATACAAGTCCAGGAAGCAGAGAGAGTCCCAAATAAGATGAACCCCAAGAGGCCCACACCAAGACACATCATCATCAAAATGCAAAAGGTTCAAGACAAAGAGAGAATTTTAAAAGCAGCAAGAGAAAAGCAGTTAGTTACCTACAAGGGAGCTCCCATAAGACTGTCAGCTGATTTCTCAAAAGAAACTTTGCAGGCCAGAAGGGAGTGGTAAGAAATATTCAAAGTGATGAAAAGCAACAACCTATAACCAAAATTACTCTATCCTGCAAAGCTGTCATTTAGAATTGAAGGACATAAAAAAGTTTCCCAGATAAGAAAAAGCTAAAGGGCCCTGGCCAGTTTGGCTCAGCGGTTAGAGCGTCAGCCTGCGGTCCGGAGAGACCCGGGTTCGGTTCCCGCTAAGGGCACGTACTTCGGTTGCAGTTTGTCCTCGGCCCTGGTTGGTCGTGCAGGTGGCAGCCACTCGATGTGTCCCTTCACGTCGATGTTTCTCTCTCTCTCTCCCTTCCTCTCTCTTCCTCCCACTCTATCTGTACAAAAAATGGAAAAATATCCTCGGTTGAGGATAAAAAAAAAAAGAAAAAGCTAAAGGAGTTCATCACCACCAAACCAGTATTATATGAAATATTGATGGGTCTTCTTGAATGAGAAGAAAAACAAAAATATAAACAATAAAATGGCAATAAACATGTATCTATCGACAACTTAATTTACAAACCAAATGAACATGCAGAACAGAAACAGACTCAGAGATACAGAAAAGTTTTTGTTGGCTGCCAAATGGAGGGGGGGGGTTGAAGGAATCAAGAAGTACAAATTGGTGTTAGACTGATGAACCTCAAAAGGAGGGAGGTGAAGGAAGAGATAAATGAAAGAATGTATATGCATATGTACGCATAACCAATGGACACAGACAATACTGTGGGGAAGGCAGGAGGGAGGTGGGAGTAGGGAGGTGGTCAACGGGGGAAATGAAGTATTGTAATACTTTCAACAATGAAGAGAAATTTTTTAAATTACCCCTTCTAAAAAAAAATAATAGATTCAGTGCTGAGTACTTCCTTTACAAACAATCACCGAGTGTTATTTAAACAGTAAGTTCCCCTACATTATTAATAGCATATAACTTATTTCAAGTTACAGAAACCTTTTTAAAACAGAAGCAATGCCCAGGGCTCACAAGACTGAGCCCACCAGCCATTTGTCCAGAGTGAAGGAGGCCACGTGCCTTCCACTGACTGCTCGCCCGATGACCTAGGCTGCTCAGCACGGCCAGTCCTGAAGCGCCCGGCCTGGACAGACCCACGCTAGGGTAGTAACTCTTCGCTTATCTGCTCTAAGTCTTAAATCAATAAAGGCAACCAAAGCATGGGTTCTTTCCTAGAGATTCTAAATACTTATGCGAACCTAGGAAACAGTCACTAAGACCCCAGAAACATTTTACTTCCTTTATAACGCACATTCCTACTCGGACTGAGCACTGCAGATACCTGAGTGCAAGAGCCTGGAGTCCGCAGGGCCGCTGCAGACGGTTCACTCTGCAACGACTCACATGTGGCAGCCAGCTCTGCTGTTTGGAAGGGCTAAGTTTCTCTGGACAATTCTGTTTAGAACAAATACAACCAGCCCTGGCCAATTTGGCTCAGCAGTTAGAGGGGGATCCTTTGGTCCTCGGGTCACCCTCTAACTGCTGAGCCAAATTGGCCAGGGCTGGTTGTATTTGTTCTAAACAGAATTGTCCAGAGAAAAGGACCAAAGGATCCCGGTTCATTTCTTGGTCAAGGGTTGCAGGTTCGATCCCCAGCCCTTGTCAGCGTGGTGAGAGGCAACCAATCAAAATGTCTCTCTCACATTGATGTTTCTCTCCCCCCCCCTTCCACTCCTTCTAAAAATCAGTGGAAAAATATCTTCAGGTGTGCCTTGGCCAGTCTGGCTTAGAGGTTGGAGGATCGGCCTGCGAACCAATGAGTCACAGGCCAATTCCGGTCAAGGGCACATACCTCAACTGCGGTTCATCCCCGGCCCTGGTCAAGTCATGCGGGAGGCAGCCAGTTGGCGTGGCTCTGTCACATTGTTTCTCTCTCTCCCTCCCTCCCACTCTATCTAATAATAAATGGAAAAATATCCTCGGGTGAGGAATAAGAAATACATATATATACATCCTCGGCTGAGGATTAAAAAAAAAGAAGAAATATAACCGATGAAAAACTTCTACTGCAAGCTGATATTCCAGACTTCCCAGATGAGTAAACAAGGAAACCATGTCCCCCAAGGAAACGTCTGACCTTCCCCATTAGAAAGCTCAGCTGCGTGGTCTCCACCCACAAAGTGAGCAGCAGCAGCTGTCAGGACCAACGATGCTCCCAAAGCCTGCTCAGGCTGCCCCATGAAGACTCCCGCTCCCACTCCCTCTCCAGCCCCCACTCTCGCCAGGACTGCTCACTGCTGCCCCCCGGGAAAGCTCTGCAACCTCCCGCTCAGGACCGCATGACGCCCCACCCGCTGCAAGCTCGGCTCACTACCTACCACGAGGCTCCTCACCCCAGCCTCTAGAAGGTCCTGCTGGGTCTGGGTACCAGTAAGAGTGACAATGGGCCGACAGGTCTGCACGAGCCCAGGCACAGAAACGCCAGTGATCACACAAGCTCCTCAGTCCCACCAGCATGGGGGTCACCAGGCAGCAGGTGCATCACAGTAACTGCTTTCTCTACACAAGGAGCGGGAGGCGCCCATCTCCCCGACCCGGCTCTCCTCTCACAGACGCCCTGTACCTGAGCTCCATCACGGGTGCAAACAGCATGCTGAGGAGGGCCGGGAGGCCAGGGATGTGCGGCAGCAGAGAGGTCTCTCTCAGCAGCATGGTGGACCCTGTCAGACAGGTATGCAAGTCACTGTGCAGGTCATTCCCCCAGGCAGCCCCTCCTCTGCTGACCTGGCCCCGCAGACACCCCCAACAGCAAGGTGACCTCTGCTGTCCATTCCCACAGCACCCTGCAGTCAGAGGCCATGTCACAACGCTCAACCGCATGCCACCTCGGGTGACAACTGCTTGGCTCCCTTCCCTCCCTTCCTCCTTGTTAACTACCAGGTCTGTCCAGGACCAAGAGCTTGGACTTGTTCCCTTTTGCAGCCAAGCACAGGGGAGAGAGCGAATGAAGAATGAGGAGCAAGCAGTTGACTTCCACATCCTGTGTGAAAGGAAGGGGCGATGCTCCCTTTCTCAAACAGGCCTCAGCCACTCACTCAGAAAACTGCCCAGAGACGCAGCAACACATGCACCTATCCACACGTTTTGTTCTGGGACAGATGGTGCCAGTGACTGACTGGACAGCAGCAAACCTGGCGAACAGCACCACTCACCAGTCGCGTTGACGGACAGGGAAGCTGCCACCAGCACCCTCTGGTGGAGGTCCTCGGGGCTGTCGCTGATGGCCACAGAGTTGATGCTTTCCTTCTCGATCCACACACGTCTGAAATGAGTCGGCACCCATGCTGTGGGTCTCACCTAGGCCTTGAATGCTCACCCGTGACAGGTCCATTTCAAAGACATGGTCACATGTAAAGGCAGTGACCAACGGGGAAATGTTACTGGTCATGTCATCTGCACCTCCTTTCCCCCTGGACCACGGTCCCTTCACCTGGACTCCTGGAGCTGCCCCCCTTCTCCCTCCCACACCCTCACAAGATGCTGACCACTCCCTGGCATCCAGTATCACCACGTGCTGACAATGCTCCAATCTCTACCCCCTAGACAGTCCCTCTTCCCAACCTGTAGCGGCCACCACTCCGTCCCAGGCAGGTACCCGAGGGAGGGAGGCACGCGCAGAGGAAACCCCATGTGGTCCACCAACCCCCCCCTTCACCTCTCAGCAGAGGCCCTGCACAGCCCAGCTAGGGCGTCCCCCACCCTTCCCCCTCCCACTCCATCCTGTCGATTCCACACCCAGAAGCTCTGGGAAAGCGGTGCTGTCTGTGCCCGTCCCGGATGCAGTGCATCCTCACCGTCCCACCCTGGACCAGGGACCAGCCTCTGGAGAGTGCTCCTTCCCAGGGACCCTGAACCCCTGAACCCCAATGCAGACTGCGAAGTTCTGTAGGTCGCCTGGGGACTGGAGGAAACGTGGGCTCTCAGCCAGCAGGCTGGGCGGGGCTCTGGTTTCCATCAAGTCTCCCAGGGTCGCCTGTGCTGCTGCTCCCAGGCACTGGGAGGCCAGGGTCTACCTTGCAACCAAGTGACACTGTGAAATGCACACAGCAGGGAGCCCACGGGCACCCCGCCTGCCCCTGGCTCCACATTCCTTCTGCTTGCCAGCCGACTCTCCACCCTCCACTCAGTGCAGACTCCCCACGAGGGCTCACCCCTGCACCAGACCATTTCCACCTGGCCTGCACCGCCCCCCCACACACACACCTTGGCCAACTCCTCTGCATCCTTCAGGCCTGGAGTTCTCAGGAAACCTCCAGGTATGGGGTGGCCCTCCTGATGCCGTCACAATGCTCTGTGGCCTGTCAAGTCCCCGTCAACCCACCCTATAACTGCACTCCTCTTGTACACCTTGCACCAGACCCGTAACTTTGGGGAAGACACTGGGTGCGTTCTGTTCACTACTGACCCCCCCCCAACTGCACAGTTCTCAGAACGAAGCAGGCAGTCCCAGGCCTGCCGAATGGTAACAGTGAGAACAACAGAGAACATGGAGTCTTTGACGAGACTCTGACATCTCGCACAGAACGGCCTTCAGGTGCGAGAGGGGCTCCGATTTAGAGCTCAGAGGGAAGGCGGAAGCAGCTAACATGCCCGCACTTCAGAGACAAAGAAGATTCACCTTTTGACAAGCTCTGTAGACACAGGAGCAAAAAACAAACTTCATAGGAAACTTAAGTGAATCGTACCTGAACTTGGATATTCTGGTCAAACTATGACACTTCAGTTCATAAGGGTTAAAAGGCCCATGGAGTGTCACCTGTATACACAGAACAAATAAAACATCACCAAGAAGCAAGATATCACTTAAAAATACACAAGTCAGCTCATGTCAAAAGAAAAAAAAAGGCTACGTGTTAGTGGTCACCCCTTCCTGGAACCTAGCCTCCCTCCTTGCACACCCTGCACACAGCCTTAGGCAAAAGGCACCGCTAGGACCACCCTGGCCCAAGTTGCTTCTCGCTGCAGCAGACCAGCCTGAGGGTGGGCAGGCCGGAGGCCACAGCTCAGGCAGACGTAGGAGGAGCAGCGTCCCTGATAGGACTGGGAGGGGATATCCCAGCTGTCCCCTCCTTCCCCTGATAAACAAGCCAGCTTGCCTTTGGAAAGGTTGGTTTAAAGAAAGGCTAGCCCTGTGAGTGTAGCTCACACTGTGGTTACTGCGTTGGCCCGAGGACCGAAGGGTGGATGGTTCGATTCCTGGTCAAGGGCACATACCTGGGTTGCAGATTCAATCCCAGGCCCCGGTGAGGGTCGTGCAAGAGGCAACCAATCAATGTGTCTCTCTCACATTGATATTTTTCTCTCTCTCTCTCCACCCCTCCATCCTTTACACTCTAAAAAAAATCAATGGAAAAAATATCCTTGGGTGAGGATTAACAACAACAGAGAGACCAGTCCCAGCATTTCCCTACCGCAAACCCCGGTGTTCTCTTATAAAGGCAGCGCCCTGTGAGGCAGGGCCCAGCTCTGAGACTGGGAGCAGGGGCGCGGGTGTCGGCAGCGCAGCGAGGTCAGGCACCTTGTGGCTCGGCGCCCCGAGCTTGCTGGAAGCGAAGCTGTCCAGCAGGACCTGGATCAGGTGCTTCTCCGTGTCCTTCACGGGGGACGGCACACACGTGCCTGTCACAGCCTCCACTGATTTGGAAAAGAGACCCTTGAGAACTTCATGGCTTTGCTGAACGAAAGAAGAAAAGTTCATTTTACTAAAAGAAAAACTGTATTAAAAGCCCTGTATTCCAAACTAATCAGTTTCTTAGGCACGACCTTTCCTTGGCTGATCTCTAGGTGACTCGTGTGTCGGGAGAAAACTGTATCAAACACACTTTAATTCACACGGAAGAAGGAAGACGGGCTCACAAGGGCTCCATCCGTTACCTTCACTCCCCTTCAGCCATCTGAGGACTGAAGGGCGAAACTTTTTTTAAAGCTTTTTGTGCACACGACATTGGCCTCATGGAGAATGTCACCGGGACCTGGAAGTGCTTTCCACAAATGGAAACCAAGTTCAGGCAGCTCTCGGCTCACATCTGTCCACATCTGTCTGCCCAACCCCCACCGGCAGAAATTACAGGATGAGAATCACTGGCAGCTGCCAGGGTGGCCTTTCTGAACCCTCACACCAAGGAAAAGCGCTGCAGAACCGATTTTGAAAACAATGGTTAAAGACACTTTAAATGTTTGAAATGCTTGCAAAAAAATATTTCATTAATTACTTATGCTGGAGAGATAAATCTTGGAATCCATTTAAAAAAAAACTTCCTAATATAGAGAACATCTTCACATCTAATTTCCATTCCAAGAAAAAAAAAAAAAGCTTAATAATAGGACACCAACGAACACCACCCAGCCACCATAGTTTAGTCTGGAAGAAACCTAGCAGACAGAAAACGGTCCCTGTGGTCCTAGCACAGGGGCGCACGTCCCCTCCCAGGGCAAACCTGCCCCACCCGCTCCACGTACCCGGGACTCATAGCACTCCTCCGCCAGCTCCGCATGGCCCTCACTGATGAGCACATCCCTGATGTTGACGAAGTCTTGGAGCCCCGAGGACAGGTACACGTCCACGTGCAGGACGCTGTGCACCACAGAGAAGACCTTGACCAGCAGCGCGTGGCCACTGACCAGGGTGGTGAAGCGCCGGCTGGCCCCACAGCTCCAGTGCTCACCGCACACCAGGGACCGGGCCGAGGGGCGCAGCCTGCAGACCTTGAACTCCAACGCCTGCGGGCAAGGGGCAGGGGTCAGGGCAGCCAGGTCTATAAACAGGCCACAAACTGGCATGAGAAGGGCCCTCCCTGTGTTCCCACCAAGCCCTCATAAACCCACTACACAGCATCTGAGCTGAGTGAAGGCTGCTTGGGGAAGGAACTGCTTTCTCTTTCCAACGACAACGGAAGTGTACAACTTTGTCTTCATCCCAACAGAGGCTGCGGTCAATGTGTCTCCTGCCCACCAAAATGCTGTTTGGTTTCAACATGGCCAGAAACCTTTTGCTAAGTGTAAAATTGCATGTATATGTATATGTATATGTATATGTATATGTATATGTGTATGTATATACATATGCATGTGTATGTGTATATATTTTGTTAGTACTTATCCAAGGATATTTTTCCCATTGATATTTAGAGAGGGTGGAAAGGAGGGGGGAGGAGCAGGAAGAGAAACATGGATGTGAGAGACACACTTATTGGCTGCCTCCCACACGAGCTTGGATTGAGGTCGGGGATCAAACCTGCAACCTAGGTATGTGCACTTGACCAGGAATCAAACCCAAGACCCTTCGGTATACAGACTGACGCTCTAACCACTGAACCACGCCAGCCAGGGCCCATCCACATATTTTAACTCACTCCCAAAACAATACTGGCAAAAACAAAAACCCAACCTTGGCTAGTGTGACAAAACAAGTCCCTCCCGCGTGTGCCTCGGCCCCGTCTGACTTCCAGAACCCTCCAGGCTTCAACATTCACACACAGGGGCCTACCCACCACACCTGAAATGGAAGCTCAAGAAGCTGGCAAGGAATCTCCATTAAAAGATCCAGGTCCACATGAGATTTGTTACCATAGTCCACAAAAAACACCTGGAGGGCAAAGAAAGGGCACATGTGCATCAGTGAGGGGCTGCGCTGTGCCCCGCCCGGTCAGACAAGGTGACCAGTCACCTGCTCTGCTCCACAATGGCAGGACTGAGCTTCGCCCACAGTCCCTGAGGGGGCGACCTTGTTCCAGAACCACTTTTCTGAGTGTAATGGTTTTATATTTAATTTCCACTTAACGTCAGAAAAGACTAAATTGCACCAAGTGTGGCCCGTTCCCCTGGGGTGTTGTCATGGCAACGCGCACCTCAGCAGAACTCCCAGACACATACAGGATCTGCGCCCTGAAGTAGCTCCGCTCGTTGGAGTCGGCAAAAGGCGCCAGGCAGACCAGGTCCGGGTGCGGGTGGACGGCCAAGGGCACCAGCTGCAGACGGTTTATCTCCGCAGTAAGCTTCTTCAGAATTGCTGAGTTCTTCTCATCAATCCTGTACCCCCAAAAGTGCCCCACTTCAACCACCTGGAAGAGGAAGGGAGCAGCAGAGGAGAGGTCTGCACAGATCTGTGGAGACCACCAGCACAAACTGACGGCTGACGCCTACCGCTACCACCCCCCAGACCACACTCCTCGATGCACGAGGACCCACAGGCGTCCAACAGCACACGAGAACAGGTTCCGGGGCCAACCAAGGTGAGGATGTGTGTACCATACCCCACCCTCGGAGGTGCGAGGCCCAAAGCACAATGGGTAGAGGGAGGACTGGGTGCCAGGCTGTCCTACGAAGAGGACCCTGAAGGCAGCCCCACCCCTGCAGCCATCAGACTGCTGTGCCAGGACCACCACCGCCGGGGATCCCCGCTGTGCCAGGACCACCACCGCCGGGGATCCCCACTGCCAAACCAAGTGCAGCTGCAGAGTCACCAAGTATATCTGCACTTCAACTGAAATAGTATTTCATTTATACCCTAAAGAATAATGGTGCCGCCCTGGCCGGTTTGGCTCAGCGGTTAGAGCGTCGGCCTGCGGTCCGGAGAGACCCGGGTTCGGTTCCCGCTAAGGGCACGTACTTAGGTTGTAGTTCGGCCCCGGTTGGTCGTGCGGGTGGCAGCCACTCGATGTGTCCCTTCACATCGATGTTTCTCTCTCTCTCTCCCTTCCTCTCTCTCCCTCCCACTCTATCTGTACAAAAAATGGCAAAATATGCTCGGGTGAGGATAAAAAAAAAAGAATAATGGTGCCGATGCTCATTTTATTAATATAACTGAATTATATAGGCATAAACCATTACACCAATTAATATTTTTACATGTATCTTGTGGCTAAAACTGATTTCTAGTGTTTTATTTTATTTTTTTATTTTTTTATCCTCACCCAAGGACATTTTTCCATTTTTTGTACAGACAGAGTGGGAGGGAGAGAGAGGAAGAGAGAGAGAGAGGGAAACATCGATGTGAAAGGGACACATCGAGTGGCTGCCACCCGCACGACCAACCAGGGCCAGGGACAAACTGCAACCGAGGTACATGCCCTTAGCGGGAACCGAACCCGGGTCTCTCCGGACCGCAGGCGGAGCTCTAACCGCTGAGCCAAACTGGCCAGGGCCCTAGTGTTTTAAATGTACCTAACATTTTAAAAATTCTACTTTGAATCCAGAACAAGTATCTGTGTTTCGCTCTGTGGCCCAGCCACATTCCAATGTAATACCACGCTCACTGACGACGAGGCTCACAACTGTGTGTGGACCACCTTACAGACATGACAACAAGCCCAACAGCTCGCACCTCCGTCACGTCGATCGTTAGGAAGAGGTCTGAAACCACCCGGGATCTGTCCATCGCGTTAAATGACACTTGCACAGGATCCACTGTCTGCTTCTGGAAGTCCACATTCACCCTATTTAAGGTGATTTTTTAAAAAAGACAATAAAAGTCAAGTGTTATAAAAACACACTTACAGATGTGAAGTGCCTGCATGACCAGCCCACTGTCTCTACAAGACAAGGACATGTTAGTGTTAATAAACCACCACGCACAGGTGACAGCTGGATCCCACCTCAAACTCGAGCTTCTGCTGGCTTCCCGGGTGTCCCTGGAGGGTGCACCCACAGCCTCACACTCCCGGGACATGTTCTAAGGATCAGGACACTCACAGAACCTCTATTGTCACAATGTAAATTCTTTTTTTTTATTTTTTAAATTGATTTTTTTTTTTTCAGATAGAGCAGGAGGGAGAGAGAAACATCGACTTGAGAGAGACACATCGAGTGGTTGCCACCCACACGACCCCAACCAGGGCTGGGGACAAACTGCAACCGAGGTACATGCCCTTAGCGGGAACTAAATCCAAGACTCTCTGGTCCGCGGGCCGATGCTCTAACTGCTGAGTCAAACTGGCCAGGGCTAAATTGATTTTAGGGATAGAGGGAGGGAGAGGGAGAGAGAGAGAGAGAGAAACATCAATGAGAGAGAACACTGACTGGCTGCCTCCTGCATGCCCCCCAGTGGGGATCGGGCCCACAACCTGGGCATGTGCCGTGACTGGAAATTGAACTGGTGATCTCTTGGTGCATGGGTCGATGCTCAACCACTGAGCCACAGTGGTCAGGCTAGGTGTAAATTCTAAATCCAGAGCCTGCGGAGTCTCCTAGCTTGTGGTTTTAGAGATGAGTGACTTTGACCTTTAGAAACTACAATGTTATCAGCAAACACACGTGAGATTTTCTGGTAAACCCAAGAATCAGCATGGGCCTGAAAGCATAAGACAGTGACCGCTGAGGTTCAGGGTGTGAAACACAAATCTGGTTAAAATTTCCCTCCTAATGCTTTTATTCTAAAATGACAAAGAATTGTAGCAGATCCTGGTCCAATTCTCTCCCCATTTATTAAATAAAAGGGACTCGGGCCAAGTCACTAGGCAGGACAGGTCTTCTCTGCGTTACAGACCCCACCACACAACAAACTGAGAACCGAGAGACCCACACTGGATGGAGCTCCATGGAACACACTGCCCTCATCAACCCTTTAAGTTCCTCGAGGAATACAAACATTTCAAATAGAAAATGGTAACGGAGAATTCCTGCATGCAGCACTGAGAATATGACCCAAAGGCACTGTGATCTGTTACAAATACTGAAGGGTGATATAATCTTCAAGAGAAGAAAATCCACACGCTTGATGGTAGCTGCCAAGTAGAGAGTGCCACAGTCCAGGCCACCCAGATCCAAGGGCAGCCGCCCCTCCTCCGAAGGGGCGCAGGGAAAGGCCCGCTCCCCAGGGAAGGGCTGGCCTGTGTGGGCAAGCAACCAGGTGCTCCAAGGTACTCCACTCTGTCCGCCGTGTCTGCTGAGAACAGAGAACATCCCACTTTGCTCAGAAAGAGGAAAAAGGAAACTAACCTTAGGCCCAGTCTCTGCTATTTAAACCGAACAGTATGTGCATCCCCGCAGTCCTCTCAGCAACCTGTACGATGGGCACCATGTACCACACGGAGGCGGCTCAGAGGCACAAAGGAAAACAATCCAATTAGAAAATCAGCAGAGCCCGGCCTGTGTGGCTCAGTGGTTGAGGTCGCTGGTTCAATTCCCGGTGAGGGCACATGCCCAGGTTGTGGGCCAAATCCCCAGTGGGGGCATGTAGGAGGTGGCCAATTGATGTTCTCTCTCATAGATGTTTCTCTCTCTCTCTCTCTCTCCCTCTCCCTCTCCCTCTCCCTTCCTCTCTCTCTAAAATCAATAAAGAAAAAGAAAAGAAAATGGGCAGAGGCCCTGGCCAGTTTGGCTCAGCAGTTAGAGTGTCAGCCCGAGGTCACAAGTTCGATTCCGAGTTAAGGACATGTACCTGGGTTGCAGGTTTGTTCCCCGGCCCTGATTGAGCTTGTGCAGAGGCAACCAGTTGATGTGTCTCTCTCACATCAATGTCTCTCTCCCTCCCTCCCTCCCTTCCTCCCTCCCTCCCTCCCACTCAATCTAAGAAGCAATGGAAAAATATCTTTGAATGAGAAAAAAAAATGTTTAAAAAAAATGGGCACAGGACCTGAATGGACGTGTCTCCAAAGGTCAACGGGCGGGTACATGAGGTGCTCAACATGAGCGGGTATCAGGGAACTGCCTGTCAGAATGACATCATCAACAAGACCACACACACATGCTGGCGAGGATGCGGAGAACAGGGACCCTCGCGCACTGCTGGTGGGATTGCAACCGGGCGCGGCTGCTGTGGAAAACAATATGGAGGGTCCTCAAAAACAGAACTAGAGCGATCTCAGGCCCCACTGGAATTCCTCTTCTGGAAATGAAAACACTAACTTGAAACAATATCTGCACCCCATGTTCACAAGAGTCAAGGCACAGAAACAACCTAAGTGTCTGGCAACAAATGGGTGAAGACACTGTGACCTGTTATTCAGCCATACAGACATGAGGAAATCTCATCATTTGTGACATCGGGATGGACATTGGAAGTATTAGGCTAAGTGGGATACGACAGAAAACAAATACCATATGCTGTTACTTGTAAGTGGAATCTAAAACAAAAAACAAACTCGTAGAAAAAGAGATCAGACTTGTGGTCATCAGAGGCAGAGGGTGGGGGAGGGGAAATTGGAGGAAGGTCTCAAAAGATGCCAAGGTCCACTTATAAGACCCTAAGTCCTGGGAACGTGGTGCACAGCAGGTGACTGCACAGATACCGTGGCAAGACCGACAGGACAGGTGTTCAGAGTGAATCCTGAGTTCTCGTCTCGAGGAGACCTGCCGCCTTCCTCCTTTTCTTTGTGTTGTATCTATCTGGGAAGCTGAATGTTGGGTGAACCTCTTGTGCGCACCACTTCACAGTACATGGAAACCAAACCAGCATGCTTACGTCTAAAACGTCCACAGTGATGTATTTTCAATAAAACTGGGGGAAAATATAAAACACCCTGAGGTTCAGAGAGGTTGAGTAATGTGTCTAAGAACACACAGTTAGGAGATGATGGAACCAGTATTCGAAGGCAGCGCTACCTGGCTTCATAGCCAGGGCTTTTAGTGGGAGCTTAAGCAAGGCTAGTCATTTTAAAATACTGGAAATGCCCCGCCTGTATGACTCAGTGGATTGAGCACTGACCCGTGCACCAGGAGGTTGTGGTTCAATTCCTGGTTGCAAGCTCTATCCCCAGTAGGGGATGCACAGGAGGCAGCCGATTGATGTTGCTCTCTCATCAATGTTTCTCTCTCTCTCTCTCTCCCCCTCTCCCTTCTCTCTCTGAAATCAATAAAAACATATTTTATATATATGGAAATGTGGAAGCAGGGGACAGTCTTACACACCTCCCTCAAAAAGTACCTGGTGTTCCTGAGCTTTGAGACAGCCCCTGCTTGCACCCTGCCTTCGATCTCCTCTGCAGAGTGCACGCTGAGCTCCAGGGGGACTTTGAGCTGAGACATCTTCACTGCCATATACACCGCAGGGAGAATCGTAAACCTCTCTGTCGGGTTCCGCGAAAACTCCACAAAGGCTCTGCTCCGCAATGTAAATTAAAAATAAAGTCATCAGGCATCTGGAAGAAAGAACTAAGTGCATATTAGAAATACTCACTCACACCTCTCCTCAAACACCAGTAACTCTTCATTCACTTAAGAGAAATATCCTGGCTGCTGTGGCTCAGTGGCTGAGCATTGACCCATGCACCGAGAGGTTGCCGGTTCAATTCCCAGTCAGGGCACACGCCCAGGTTGTGGGTGGGCCCAATCCCTGTTGCAAGAGGTGGCCGATTGATGTTCTCTCTCATTGATGTTCCTCTCTCTCCCTTTGCCTTCCTCGCTCTCTAAATATTAATTTAAAAAAATTTTTTTTAATCCCTTGGGATCTTGATGAAGCTAGAAAACTAAAGAAAAATTGAGCAAAACAGACAATGCCATTCCGAAAAAAAATAAAAATCATGACAACAGCCCTGGCCAGTATGGGTAAGTGGTTAGAGAATCAGCCCTCAGACCTAAGAGTCTCAGGTTTGATCCCCAGCCCCAGTTGGTTGAGGTTGTGGGAATTGGGGGACAACAGATCGATGTGTCTCTTCACATCGATGTTTCTCTCTCTTTATCTCTCTCCTTATCTCTCTCCCTCCTCCCCTCCCTCCCTTCCACCCTGTCTGAAAATCAATGGAAAAATACCCTCAGGCAAGGATTAACCAAAAATATTAAAAATAAAAAATTACAATAACATCATTAAACTAATATCAAGGATCATTCTATGTAATATGCAGATAGAATTTTCAATCAAGAAATCTTAATTGTCACAATTAGAAAAGAATGGCAGGTTTTTGGTTTCTCTATCTCATCATAAAATAAAACATGGATAAGAGAAAACCACACATATGAGCTGTTAGGGATCTTTGCAATCTCCCTGCAAACACCAAGTGAATCACCCAGAAGAGCTACAGACGCCCCTCTCTCGTCCCACCTTCTGGGGGCCTCAAGCTGCAATGGGCGCCTGCCCACTTCCCTTCAGGGTACGCTGGTCTGTCTGTGAATGTCAAGTGACCTGGGCTGCCTCCTCCCAGGGCCCACCTGAGCATCCACTGGGCCTCTCCCTTAATATCTGTGGAACCAAATTTACCTCCACCCTTCCTCTGGGGGGGACACTGTGCCCTCCACCCCTCCCGCAGGCTCTGCACTAAGGTGGCCCTGCCTGACCCAACATGGTGTCACGTCATTCTCTGCCTTCAAACGCTCCGCGCACCACGGCGGCTCCCAGTGAACCGGCAGGGCCACTGCTCCCAGGCCTGAAATGGAACTGGTGCTGCCGTGACAGAAGCCAGGTAAGCATAACGCCCACGACCCGGTCCCAGGCATGGCTAAGAAACAAATCCCGAACCCAGTCCAGTGGTGACGCCTGTGACCGAAGCTGTGGGACCTTCGTGAGGCCAGCTCGCTGGCCACATCCGCAGAACTTGGCGTGGAGCCAGACCCCCGCGGCAAGCAGATGCACAGCGCTCCAGAGTCTGGCTGTAACCTGTATTCGAATATTCGGGAAAGCTTGGATGCTGAGCTGAGTGTGTGGAGTCAGCAGCGGATGTTCAGGTTAGATTTTTGCCCAGTGGGGTTGAAATATGCCATGTGAGGCATTTACATGCTTAGAAACAAAATCGTAAGAATGAAACGTAAAACATCTGGCAAAATTAATCCCAATGGAAAATGGATTCAATATGTTCAACTTGAATTATTAGATATTAAAGAAAAAAGTGTTTCTCCTCTACTAGATTTACAAATATTTATAAATTAACTAAAACTTATAGAAAACTAGAAAAAAATTCTAATTTTAAAAATTAAAAATCAATTTAAAATTATGAAGTCTCTTGTGTACATAAATATTTCCCCTTGAAAATAAGAACACAGCATGATCCCAAAGAATGTGCTGTTTGTTCCTCATCTGCAATTAAAATAGTCAGATCAGACATCCCTATGTTTGCAGCATCTGTCTTCGAGAACATCTGGAGCACACGTGTTCTCCGTAGCGCGAAACAGACAAACTATTTCAGGGCCTCCTCCTGGCGCACAAAGGGACGTGTTGCTAGTGACTCCCTGTGCAAGTCTATGGGCAGGTGCCAAGCGCACTGTCAGAGTCCTCCAGGCCCTCGATCCCTGGCCAGATGGCTCATTCCTCCAGGGGACCCAGTGAAAGAGAAGGTAAGTTGCTGCTGACAACAGAGAAGCCAAAGCTCCACTCAAGCACCCTGGGTCAAAGCCCACATGAAGTCATCTACGCCCACTCAATGTTCAGAACTGGCTCCTGTAACCATGGAAACATTTATGGTTCTTTCATAACTGCAGCTGACCACAGAACACACGACTTACTTGGCACCATCGAACACGATGGACTTGACTTGGCCACACTGCCTGAAGAGGGACTGGAGCTGCTTGTGGTAGAGGAAGCCATAGGGAGGTGCATGCTTCAACTGCAAAACACAGCACGCACTCAGAGCAGGGCAGCCAAGCCGAGGCCAAGCCACTGCACACGCTCTGGCTCACACACAGCTATTGTCACTAACCACAGATGCTGACTCCACGGACAGGTGTAAACACTAAAGACTTAAATTGTAAGTATGTTTAATAATAAACACATGAGCCCTAGCCGGTTTGGCTCAGCGGTTGGATCATCGGCCTGTGGACCAGAGAGTCCCGGGTTCGGTTCCCGCTAGGAGCGTGTACCAAAAGAAAATAATAATAATAATAATAAACACATGATAAAGGCAAATTCTCCACCTATTAAAACAGCCCAAAAGTCTAGTAAAGAGCCCTGGCCTGTTTGGCTCAAGTAGTTAAGAGTGTCGGCTTGCCAACCAAAGAGTCATGGGTTTGATTCCGGTCAAAGGCACGTACCTCAGTTGCAGTTTGGTCCCCAGCCGTGGTCAGGGTCTTTCAGGAGGCAACCAGTTAATGTATCTCTCCCACATCAATGCTTCTCTCACTCTCTCTCTCCCATTCTATCTGAAGATAAATGGAAAAATATCCTCAGGTGAAGATTTAAGAAAAGAAAGACAGACAGACAGAAAGAGAGAGGTTAAGATTTGCTGGGCGTGGCCAGAAGTAAGCCTGCCTCCCACCAACCCACACAGAGCGCTGCAAGCCCTCTGCCCATGTGCACCCTCCCGCCATCCTGGTGTGAACCAGAAGTCCCTGGTCCTGTGACCGTCCTGTTTATTGAAGGCCCACTCCAGCGCCATGAGGCTGTGGGTCTGAGTGCAAATCTTGACCCGTCAAGTGTCAGGAGGCAGGTTGGGGGGTGGCCCCAGCAGAGAACAGGGACAATGAGTCCCCAGAGTCCCCACTCAGAGCCAGCGTGGGCTCAGGGAGCAGGCACAGAGTGCCCCGCAGAGGGCCTCTCGGACAGTGCTAAGCAGATGCTGGCTCCCTTAGTATTTACAATGCATGCAGCAGGCAGGTAACTGGGGGGCCCAGCATGCATGGTGGGTGCAGGAGCAAACACACCCCTGGTGTCCAGGAGAACATATCAGGAAGGCCAAGGCCTGGCCCACTGAAGATCAACAAGACAGCACCCATGAGATGAGCGTCCTTCCCAAGTGGCCACCATGTCACCGAGCGACGGCTCCTGTCTGAGCCCCTCCACGGTCTCTGTGCTGTGCTCCTCTGTGACCCTCTGTCAGCTCCACGCCTTCCACACTAGTGGTGATGGTAACCATGACACAAAGAGCCCGTGTGCTCACTACACAGGAACCTCCCCAAGCGCGCCACAGCCCTTTTTACTAGGGAAGGCTGGCAATGGAACCAAATGGTCCAGAGAGTCCAGTTCCGAAGCTGTGCATCCTGAGGTTATCGCGGGCTCAGCGGACACAGACAGTCCACAAAAGCTGACCTGGCTCAGCATCTGTGGCTCAGCATCAGATTCACTCCAACGTCACTGGAGTTCAATGCTATTTCCAGGCCACATCTTTTCCTTTTTAAATCCTCACCTAAGGATATTTTTACTTTTTATCTTCAGTGGGAGGGAGACAGAGAGAGAAACATCGATGTGAGAGAGACACATCCAATGGTTGCCACCTGCACGACCCTAACCGGGGCCAGGGATGAACCGATACCGAGGTACATGCCCTGGGCCGAAATTGAACCCAGGACTCTGGTCCACAGGTCGACACTCTAACTGCTGAGCCAAACCGGCCAGGGCCACATCTTCTAGTTTGTAAAGTGGCGTGGGCCCTCAAACATGAGTAGTACTCGGTTCTGTAGACCACAGCATAGACTAGTGCCAGAGGCCAACCAGCTAACAGTCCACTGTGTGTGAAACAAGGCTGTGGACTAACAAACATGCTTCAACTCACGGAGAAGTGCCTTAGCCCCTTCAAAGTGGCGCACAACGGACCCGCATTGGCAGGAGCATACACCTCCCAGGGTCTAAGGCCAGACTGCAGGGAGCAAGCCTGAGGAACAAGTGCCTGCGTTGGGCAGACAAGCCACGACGTTCACATGGGGAGATTCGCTGAGGACTCACACCAACAACAGGGAACCGAGGCGCAGTGCTAGCCACACTGAAATGAGGGCGCCCGGACCCCAGAGGCCCGTGCCGTCCCTGAGGAAGGTGGCCTGCCCCCCACCTACCACAATGGTCGTCTTGGGGTCTTTGCCTGCCAGCTCCCTGACCGCCATCTCCTCGTCCGGCTGTCCGAAAGTGAAGTAGTTCGGATAGAAAGCACCTGCCAACACAACCTGGAAGAGAAACTTATTTTCATGAAGCAACAGCATTACTTTCGAGTTCGTCACATTCTTCCCAGAAGAATATGACAATAATGTAAAATGCAAGTTTTTACAAAAAATGAGACTTTTCACTACTCAAGCAGAAAGTCACAATTCTGATCATTTCACCGTAACAGAAACACACTAAGCGTGATCTTTCCTCAAAGGAGCTTGAGTACTTTGTACGTGAGGGTCAGGAAGGCCGTAACTGGCGTGCAGGTGAGTGGGCGTGACAGGCAGCCCGGCACTTCCAGGGCTGGATGGGGTTCCAGCAGGTGCACTGGTGTCACAGTGCCCCCACCAGGCTCGCCTGTGGAAAGCACTCTGCAGAGGCCCTTCTGCAGTGAAAATGTACCATCTGAAGCACACACTGGCCCTAAAGCAACTGTCATCCACAAGTCACCCCTCTCCCCGCATCACCCCCGAGCCCAGTTCCATCGGCCTCAGCTGACGGGTGGTACGTGCAGACGTCCTCCCCCTGGCCCCTCAGCCACCATCCAGGACCCACTGCCTCTACACAGTCCCTTAAGGTTCAATCTGACCAGTTAGTTCATCAGACCACAGCCTCCAAAGTTAAAATATTTTCAGTGTAAGTAGCTGTACACATTGGGTGATACTATTCTTGAAAGTGAAAACAAACGGCTGTTGTGGCCCTGGTTGGTTTTGCTCAACAGTTAGAGCGTCAGCCCACGGACCAGTGAGTCGTGGGTTCAATTCTGGTCAGAGGCATGTACCTCGGTTGCAATTTGTCCCCGGCCCTGGTTGGGGTCATGCGGGAGGCAGCCACTTAATGTGTCCCTCTCATTCAATGTTTCTTTCTGTCTCTCTCTTCCTCTCTGTCTCTCCCACTCTATCTGAGCGGCAATGGAAAGGGTCCTCAGGCGAGGTTAAAAAGGCTGTCCTGGGCAGTCACACAGCTGTGCTATGGAAACACTGCCCTGGAGATCAGAAGCCAGTCTGGGCCACCAGCTCAGTGGCACGGAGAACCCACACTGCTGTGGCACAATCCGCATCAGGAAGGGGGAGGGAGCACTTCCCCACCACAGGCCCATGGGCAGACAGACAGATGGACGCGCACCTGCAGGATGAACCGCTGCTTGTATGTGTACTCCTGGTCCAGAACAGGCCGCCGGGAGCCAACACTCATGTTGAACTGCGAGATTCTGCTCTTCAGCTCTTCATACAGTTCGGCCACCTAAGGCAAACACAGTGACATGTGGCGTCTCCAAGCACTTGCGCACTCAGAACAGTGACAACGCCAGCGCACTGTGGGGAGAGCACCAATCCTCCTGGTGGAGGCACTGCTGCGCTCACAGCCGTCTTAGGAAAGGATAATAGGGAATGGAAGTGATGCTCAGTACAACATGGACAAAAAATGCCAGGGCACAAACTTCCTATAAATCGTGATCCCAATGTCCGAACACACATGTGTACGTGCCAAACCCTGCAAACATACAACCGCAATCGACTGCAGGTATGGAAAGAGCAGGTGACCGTGACCATGACCATGTCCTCTGTTTTAAGTCTTTTAAAAGCTTCCAAAACCGCCCTGGCTGGTTTGGCTCAGCGGTTAGAGCGTTGGCCTGCGGTCCAGAGAGACCCGGGTTCGGTTCCCACTAGGGGCACGTACCTCCGTTGCAGTTTGTCCCCGGCCCTGGTTGGGTCAGGGCCGTGAGGGAGGCAACCACTCAATGTGTCCCTTTCATGTCAATGTTTCTCTCTCTCACTCTTTCTCTCTCTCTCCCTCCCACTCTATCTGAACAAAAAATGGAAAAATGTCCTCGAATGAGGATTAAAAAAAAAAAACAACTTCCAAAACCTCCACCATGACTGTGCACTGCTTTTGTGATTAAAAACACGCTGAGTGCCCAGCCTGTGTGGCTCAGTAGCTGAGCGTCGACCCATGTACCAGGAAGTCACTGGTTCGATTCCAGGTCAAGGCACATGCCCAGGTTGTGGGCCCAATCCCCAGTGGGGGGCATGCAGGAGGCGACCAATCAATGTTCTCCCTTATCGGTGTTTCTATCTCTCTTTCCCTCTCGCTTCCTGTCTCTCTAAAATCAATAAAGAAAAATTATTTTTAAAAAACACACATGACCCTGGCCGGTTTGGCTCAGCGGTTGGAGCGTCAACCTGCGTTACAGAGAGTCCCGGGTTCGGTTCCCGCTAAGGGCATGTACCTCGGTTGCAGTTTGTCCCCGGCCCTGGTTGGTCGTGCGGGTGGCAGCCACTCGATGTGTCCCTTCACATCGATGTTTCTCTCTCTCTCTCTTCCTCTCTCTCCCTCCCACTCTATCTGAACCAAAAAAAAAAAAAACACACACGGAGTGACCCCACAGTCAATTCCTCTGAACAAAAACATCTCTTTGCAATAAAACTGTTTCACACCAAACTTCAAACTTCAAATGTACACACCTGAGAACACATACCTTCCAGGTGCCTCTGAGCTAATCATAAATGAAGTTACCACAAAGTTACTTCAATACTTTACAGAAAGTAAAACCACACAAACCACAAGAGGAACCATACTGCAGAAAAACAGCTAGAGGACTAGACAGAAAGCTGAGGAGGAACAGCAGCCTGGGAGGTGGGAAGGCCGAGCCCACCGCACGTAGCACTGCATTTCGGTTACTGAACTCCTTCTCATACCGCTGCAGTCACAGTAACCTAATTAGAAATCAATTTAAAAGTATGCAAGTCGCCCAGCCAGTGTGGCTCAGTGGACTGAGCATCGTCCCATGGACTGAGAGGTCTCAGTTCGATTCCCAGTCAGGGCACATGCCCAGTTTGTGGGCTCGATCCCCAGTAGGGGTGTGCAGGAGGCGGCCAATCAATGTTTCTCTTTCACGTCGATGTTTCTATCTCTCCCTTCCTCTCTATCTAGGAAAAATAAAATCAATAAAAACAAAACAAAAATAAAATGATGTAAGTCACTTCTCTGGCCCAATAAAATAAAATCAGAAATTCACAACAAAATACCTAAAAATAGTTCTTTCTCCCTGGAAATTCAAATAGTCTCTTAAACAAATTCTGCGTGGAGGAGGAAACCGACATGTACGGATGGTGATCCCCCGCATCACAAACCAACGTGACGCAGCCTTGACTGTGCACAGAAATATTCACAGCTTCACATTAGAAATACCTAAAATATGAGTGAATTAAATACTCATCTCAAGAAGACTAAAATAATAAATCCAGAAACATGAATTAATAAAAACGCAAAAATAGCCCTGGCCGGTTTGTCTCAGCGTTTAGAGCATCGGCCTGCGGTCCAGAGAGACCTGGGTTCAGTTCCCGCTAAGGGCATGTACCTCGGTTGCAGTTTGTCCCCGGCCCTGGTTGGGTAGTGCGGGAGGCAGTCACTCGTGTCCCTTTCACGTCGATGTTTCTCTCTCTCTCTTCTTCTCTCTCCCCCCCTCTATATGAACAAAAAAAAAAACATGGAGAAATGTCCTCAGGTGAGGATTAAAAAAAGCAAAAATAAACCAATTAAAACCTTCCACCTCTCCCCTTCCCCAAAAAAACTTACACAGTAAAATCAAACCAAGAGTAAGTTCTCTGAAAATACAAAAACAGCTAAGCAGCTTATACTGCAGCAGGCATCAATTCAGCTGGCCTGGTTGTCTACCACCTGCACATTCCAAACACAGGTGTGGCGCCTGGGACCGAACCTCTAAGCCCTTGGAGTATCCTGCCCCATCAGAGCGTCTGTGTTTAGCTGAGGCCTAGGGCAAAACAGCGTATGTCACTTATGTATGCTGGGGCCTTGGGGCACGCAGTCTCAATGTGACCTCTGGAAGAGCTAAAAACTAAGTAACTAAGACAAGCCATGTAGGCACTCCCTGCCTACCTAACCAACCCGCAATAAAACCCGGGTCACCAAGGCTGGGTGAGCCACCCTGGCTGGCAGCACTTGGGCCTGGGGTCACACGTCACTGCTGGGAGAACCAAGCATGTCCACAAGACTTCCTTGGGAGACGACATGGGAACCTTGCACCTGGTCTCTTCTGACTCCTCCCCTTGGGCCTGTTACCTCTGCTGACTTTATTCGGTATCCTCTAGCTGTAACAAACCACAACCAGGTGTGTAACAGCTGTTCTAGCCAATCGATGAACCCTAGGTGGTCTTGGGGACACCTCCCAGCACACAATCTAATCAAGAAACAAAGAACACAAGCGCCCGACATTCAGAATGAGAAAGAAGATGCTATTGCTTTTGAAATGATAAGACTATTACTTATAATTGTATGTAATTGCATTATGTTATATAAACATACACGATTGAATAGCTATTTGTGAATTATATAAAGCATGTATGTTATTTTACACAAACATATATCACAAACACACATACACATTCCACTGAAGTTGGAAACAGGATTACTTCTGGGAACACTCATTACCACCTTGTGGATTACAACTTACCTCTCGGATTCTCTTGATTTGAATGTAATTTAACCGTCCCCAGTCGAGTTCATCCTTTAAATACATAAAAGCATAACACTCAATATTAATGTAGCAAATTAGAGCTAATTTGGCTACTATAATACACACATCTCATCCAAAACTATACACCAAAAAGAATACAGAGCAACAAGAAAAACACGACTGAGTAGCTCACAGTTACATGAGGCTGCATCTAGGCATGGCAAATACAAACACACACACAGACCCACCAACATTCCTTTTAACCTAATCAGTTTAGAAGAATAAAACCTAATAAAAAAAGGGGGGGCGGGGGAGCTAACAGGCTGAGTTCTGTCAAGCCCATTGTTTAAAGACAGTGAAGAAACAGCTTCAGGTTCTCAGAGTGGAGCCGGGGGCCAGTAGCATCCCCACAGGTACTGAGCACCCCAGCGGGAGAGGCTCCGGGAACCCTCAGAAGGGTCACTACTGCCCTGGGGAAGTGCCCATGGCTAATGCAGGCCTGTCGGCGCTCTGCAGAAGGAAGGCTGTGTCTGTGAATGGCCTGCGGCCATCAGAGGACACTGCAGTGACCTCCGCTCAGGCTCCCAGGTCTCACAGGCCTCTCAGGCTGCGCTACAGCGTGGGGGGAGCCTCCTGACCCCGCGGCCGGCTACAGAGACCTACCTTTGGATGCCGCAGCTCCCCTCTTTGTCTGCAGGACTGCCAAGTCTGAAAAGGAATGACCCCGAGTTTCAAAATACTTGACTGGTTACTCGAATTTTTTTCTCAAAGTCCATCTTCAACAGAGTTGAACCACAGAAAATTTACAAACTTAATTTTTCAATGAAATTGGACTCGCACTCCCACCCACTTCTTGTAGCACAGCTTATCTGTAACACTGGACATCACAGCCCTGGCCACACTTGGACGGGGAAGGGGCAGGGCGTGACAATGCACGGCGTGCGGCAGCTCCCCCAGCCCGCATGTGCACTCACTTTAAACGCCTGGACCAGGGCGATGCAGTCACTTTTACTGTTGCCAGAGAAAAACACTTTGTTCCTATGAACAAATAACAGTGTCATTTGATGCCAGTAAAAACAAAGTGGCTTTTAAAAATATGAATGTTAAATACCTGTATCCATCAAGATGTTGCCTAAAAGGCATTGCAAAAAAATTCTTCAAGGACAGCGCTGCCGCTGGAGAAACAGGGAGGGTAAGAAGGGAGGGCAAGAAGCGAGCGCAGCCTTCCGGCCCCGCGCTCCTCCACCTTCTCCCTCACCTATGATGAGACATTCTTCCAGACACCCAAACACATGTCCCAGGACGATGAGTTTGCCAAGCTGCTGGTTGACAGGAAGCTGGGCTAACACTCTTCCTAAGAAGGTCAATTCACCATCGTGGGGGTTCTCGTCTTCCTTCTGTCCACTAACAGCAAGTGCACCAACCTTTGTAAATAAATCAGCACCATGAGCAACCTAACTTATTCTTTTTCCTTAAGGCAGGGAGTTTCAAACATGAAATGAAGACCAAACTTGGTGAATAAAGGATCTAAAAGACATCTACGTCAACATGGGAAAGACTGACGCTACCAAAAATATTTTTAATTTGCTTTTTGAAACTCAGAACATATTTATTATTATTATTATTTTTTTTTTTTTATCCTCACTCGAGGACATTTTTCCATTTTTTGTTCAGGTAGAGTGGGAGGGAGAGAGAGGAACAGAGAGAGAGAGAGAGAAACATCGACGTGAAAGGAACACATCGAGTGGCTGCCACCCGCAGGACCTACCAGGGCCGGGGACAAACTGCAACCCAGGTACGTGCCCTTAGCGGGAACCGAACCCGGGTCTCTCAGGACCACAGGACGACGCTCTACCGCTGAGCCAAACTGGCCAGGGCATATTTTTAGAGAGGATGACAACACTCAAGGCCAGTCCTGCAGATGTCTTCATAACTCAACTGAACAACAGAGCCTACACAATACTAACCCAAGATCCCACTAGCACGTCATGCTGGTCATTCACCACGAAACATATTAATTGCACAGAAAAAACTCTCTTAACTTGACAAGTATTTCATAGAAACCCAAGCAGGTATCAAAATAAAGCTAAACCACCAGAGGCACCGCCCACCTGGAGGGTGGAGCCCCAACAAAGAGCAGGTACACAGGGTGCATCTGCACTGAGGCCCTGGCTGCAAGTAGCAAAAGCAGAGCCTGAGTCAGGGGTGATGTCCAAGAGCCCAAAGCAGGCAGGGAAGAGCTTCCAGCCTTCCAGCTGGGAAAAGAGGAGGAGGAGGAGGAGGAGGGAAGGGGAGAGGGGGAGGGGGAGGGGGAGGACCAGAGGTGTGAGCAGGCAGTGGAGAGACCTGCCCAGAAACCCGTAAAGGCAGCCTTCAGACACACACCCAGCTCCCTTCAGACACACACCCAGCTCAGCCTTTACAAGACGAACGTTCACTCGCCATCTGGCATTAATATCTTCAATGTTAGCATAAAGACATATTTAATAATAACCACTCAATATTGTCAATGCTTTTTTTTTTTAATCCTTACCCAAGAACATTTTTCCATTTTTTGTTCGGATAGAATGGGAGGGGGAGAGAGAGAGAGAGAGAGAGAAACATCGACGTGAAAGGGATACAAGTGGTTGCCACTGCATGACCCAGCCTGGGCTGGGACAAACTGCAACCAAAGTACATGTCCCCAGCGGGAACCGAACCGGGGTCTCTCTGGACCGTGGGCCGACACTCTAACCGCTGAGCCAAACCGGCCAGAGCATGTCAATGCTGTCTTATCTCAGAACTTCTGGACACTGTGAGGGAGAATGGGAACAGGATGCGGGAGGGTGTTGGGGATGAGGGATGGAGATGTGGGTGGGGTTGGGGAGGGGTGGGCAGGGGAGAGAGATGCAGTTCTGGCAAGACAGCTGACAGCTTATATAAACACGCGTGGAATCTGAAGTCTATGATCAGTCATTACACATGCTTTTTATAAGCAAACACTGATTATTTACAACAAAATACCTTCAAGACACCCACATTCTGAAACTGATCAGAGAAGTCTCCACTTCCCCCCACTAGCAGACACGCACAGACCTACCTCCTTTAGCAGGAGCACCGTGCGTTCGATGTCACTCAGGCTGGGGGGGGACAGGGCCGTCGCTAGCAGAGCTCTGGGCTCCCCCATGTCGAGTAACTTCACTTTCAATATGGTGCTTCCCAATGGACAGCGCTGACGGGAACAGAACTTCCATTTAGACTAAGAAAGTGACTCATCGATTCACCTAGTTACAGGCCTAATGCTCTAGAGAGAGAGCTGAGAAGGGAGGAGAAAAGCAAGGAGAAAGAACAGATGAGAAAGACAAAAGGGAAGAAAAAGGAAGAGGGAGAAGCAGGACAGGAGGGGGAAGGGAGGGAGAGGAAAAAGGGGGAGAAAGAGAGGTAACCAAGAGAAAGGGGACAGAGCGACAGGAGGGGAAGAGGACAGGGATGAGGAGAGGAAGGCCAGTCCCACGACAGGGAGGGAGAGCTGAGCGCTCAGACCCGGCCCTCCCACACAGACGATGTGAAGTGAAGACACTTCACAACTGTCTACAGAAAAATGAACTTTGCAATTGATCAAGCATATTACCAACATCTCCGGAATGACATTGTCAGGGATGGCGTTGTCCCAGAAATCCCTGTGTATCAGGCGGTAACAGTAGCCCTTAGACACGCGTCCAGCTCGGCCTTCACAGAAGAAACAGTCAAAGGCCATTTGGCATTAATTGCATCAATATTAGCAGAAAGACATGCTTAGGAATAACCATTTAATATTAATTTAAGAAAGGCCTCTGCTATCTAGCAGACCCAATCATAAGAACCTTGGACCACGTTAGTGCTCGAAGTCCTCTCTACACAGAGAGGAACAAGTATAGAATCCATTGTGTTTCTGAAAAAAGCATTGGCCCCCACACACTGGAAATCAACACACTATGAATACCACACATTTCCTGTGGGGCATAGTTCATGCCAGCAAAAAAAGAGGTCACCAAACAAAGGGAACTGCTGTTCTCTTGGGAAATGGCTTTCCCTATGGTCTTCTGTCACCCTAACACCTCCTCAAAGGCACCTCCAAGACAGCTGCTGCACAGCAGACAAGTGATCACACGCAGAGCTCAGGACCAGCCTGCGGGGATCACCACAGAACAGCTATCCTAGGGAGATTGTGTGGTTTGTGGAGCAGAAACACCTCTACCCTGACACATAAAATCTCCTGAGAAGAGAGAGGGAGAGGATGGGGCTGCCCTAATCAATACCAGCCTTTGAAAAACGAGACAGGAGCCAGGCAGGTGCTCTTATTCCACAAGTGTGGAGTCAGGAGGTCAGTGGAAAATCCAGACCCCTGCCCACTCCCTTGCACCCCAACTCTTCCCCGGTAGCTCCCCCAACCAAGAGGCTGGGTGGAGTCTCCAGACCTCCACCCCTACCCCTCTTTATCTGCAAATGACAAGGTTGTCTAAGTAGGAAAACCCAAGGTAATGACCAAACAAAACCAAAACAACTCCTAGAGCAAATCAGTGAGTTCAGCAAAGCCACAGAATACCAGATCAACACACAGAATCCACAAGGTGTTTATGTAGTATTGAACATGTAAAACCAAAAAAAAATGCAACACCATTTATAATCACGCTGAACACAAATGCTCACCTGACAACACCTGCAGGGTGTGCTAACAGAAACTGCTCAGGGACCAGGTGGCTATGCAGACACACACACGCGCGCACGCACGGTACGCTCCACCAATGTGCGTACAGCATGGGTCTTCGCAGATACGCACACGCTTACTCTAAAACCTATGTGGAAAGGCCAAGTACAACAGCTAAAACACGTGGGAATGAAGAGCAGACCGGAGGAATCAGGGTGTTCCATGCTGAGAAGTCCTAAGTAATCAGGTAGTGTGGTCGGGGGGAGGGAAGACACAGTTCACTGGGACACACAGAACCCAGACAGAACCATACGAGCTCACCCCAGTGATCTCAGAGGTGCTCAGACGTTCAGTGAAAGGGGACAGTGGGGCCAGAAGTGGACATCCACAGGTGAAGAAATGAACCTTGACCCAAAACACCCACCTTGCACAACACTTAATTGCAGTGGATCACGGATGTTAAATGCAAAACACGAAGCTATGAAACGGAGAGCTACACACAGGAAAGCCTCTGCGGCCGAGGGCTTGGGCAAGGGCTCTTCCCATGATGCCAAAAACTGATCCCCACGAGGGACAGCAGTCCGCTCTCTGTGCAAGGCCCTGTGACCAGGATGAAAGGACAAACCACACCACGGAGGGGAGAAAAGATGTGCACGCGACACTGGAATGACGACAGTCTCTAAGTTACACAAAGCTCTCAAAACTCACCAGTAACAATACAAGCAATCCGAAGACACATGCACCCTCCACTGAAGAGGTGCAGGTGGAAAATAACAAGAAAAACACGTACCCTAAGCAGCCATTAGGACACGCACTGCAGAGCAGTGAGACGTCACTGTGCACCCTTTAGAATGGCAAGGGGGTGGGGGAGGTGGAAGAAAGTAAGGGGGATAAATGCTGAGGGAAGAAGACTTGACTTGGGTGGTGAACACACAATATACAGATGTATTATAGAAACGTACATCTGAAACCTACATAGTTTTCTTTACCAATGTCACCCCAGTTAACAAAGAAGACCATGGCTGCAGCAAGTGCTGGCAGGGACAGCGGGAAATGGGTCACACTCACTGCTGACAGGCATTGGAATGGCACGGCCAGCACACGCAAGTAGCTGGCAGCATCCTGTACACTAAACACAGACTCACATGTGACCAGCAAGTGCACTCCTGGACTGGGGATCCCTGAGTGACACTTCCGTCCACTCAAAACATAATACTCAGTGGCTGCATCTGACCACAGGTGCTAAGCTACAGAAACCACTCACACGTGCAATGCTCTTCTTCTCCGCCACGAAAAGGGAGGGACTACTGGTATGTGCAGCGACTTGGATCTTGACTAAGGACATGACAACAAAGAAGAAAGCCAGTCTCAAGAGGGTGCATACTACATGACCCTCAAAGGCACAAAACGACAGCTGTGAAGACCAGATCAGTGGCTGGCAGAGAGCAACAGGCAGCACCAGGCAGTCCCTTCTGGGCATGGAGCCGCCAGCCCCCTGGCTGCAGTGGTGGGTACAGGAATGTACACATGGGTGCACCGAGCCACACAGAAACACGTGGGAGTGCAGCGAGACCGTGGCTCCTGGCTGTGCCGCACTCCTTACGTGAGATGTGGCTGCTGACATGCTGGGAAAAGGCCCGAGGGACTCTGGGTACTATTTCTACAACTTCCTGTATGAGAACATTTTTCTAACTAGAGACTTTGAACATACAAAAATGCAAAGTTTAAAACTCCATTAATCTCAATACTGACCCAAAGATAATCACTTTTAACATTTTTGTATATTTATTTCTAGTCATTTTTTAAGCATATCTTTTTTTTTCAGGGGATTTCCAGTGGGGGAGGTTAAACACAGTGAGATGATTAACTTGAACTTTTCATCTACCTTTGTAACAACACACAGCTCGACATGAGGTTTTCCAAAGTGATGAGGGGCTCAGGACCTTGCTTCACGACTACCTAACATGCTCTCTGAACCCCTCTCTGGTGAGTCCTGTGGAGAAGTTGGGCTGACTCCAGGGCTCCGGGTCCAGCCCCACCCCTGGGCAGTGACCCAGGCAGGTGGCTCCTCCTCTGTGCAGCGCTGTAGCTCCACTCCGCGGTGTGAACAAGGCAACTTCACTCTTGGGGCGGCCACTGCCCACTCCCCAAAGGCTAGGAAAGCACAGCGCCTCTCAGTCCACACCAAGAGCGCTGCCCCCTGGAGCCAGGCCCCCGAGGAGGTCACAACTACAACTGCACTGTGGCCAATACCCTAGACACATGACCGCACCTCCACCGCCGCAGGGACACATGTGCACGTCTCAGCAAAAAGGGAACCTGCGCAGCTGGTTCAGGAAAACACCCCTAGAGAGAGCAACACTCGCAGAGAAGTCAAAGGATGACTACCAAACACTAACAAAGCGATGCCCGTGCTTCCAGAACCACTGGCCAGAGCTTGTAGATTCACTAAGGACAGCACGGCGGGGACAGGACGCATCCATGTGTGTGCACAGAGACTCGCCTGGATTGATGGCCAAGAGGAGGGGCACAGTGCCGAGTCTTACAATGTGAGATGTTGTTGCTCAAATCTTAAAACTGGTTGCGATAAACCAGGAGTGGGGAGCATTCTGCCCTCAGGCATGTGAGGCCCACAAAATCAATACCAGCTAACATCACACACCTCACCAAGTTAGCCTAACCAAATATAGCAGGTTAATTTTTTTAAAATAAGTGTTTATTGATTTTTTTTTTTTAGAAAGAGAGGAAAGGAGAGAGAGAGAAACATCAATTGACTGCCTCCTGCATATCCTCTACTGGGGATCGAGCCCACAGCCCAGGCATGTGCCCTGACTGGGAATTGAACCAGGACCTCTCAGTCTGTGGGACAACACTCAATCCACTGAGCCACACTGGCTGGCTAGCAGGCTAATTTTTAAGTTGATAATTTTGTATGGCCCGAGAGTGATGTCATAAATATCCTGGCCTGAGAGTGATGTCATAAATATCCCAATGGCCCTTGGCAGAAACAAGGTTCCCCACCCATGCAAAGGAAGGAAGGATCTGATAAGAGTAAACACACAGGAAACACATTCGAAGATGACACACGAGTGAGTGTGTGCTGAGGCATCAAGCTTACCTTTCCTCTGGTTACAACTGGTTTTTGAGGCCCAACTCAGGCGCAGACTCTGATAATTCGTGTCTTCATCACAAACTAGAGTTCTAGTCAAACAAAAATCTATAACTGTCATCCAAAAAGAGGAATGTAAACACAATGCGGACAAGAAATGAGCGTGTAACAGCCACAGTGCACAGTGACAAACGAGATGCAGCCCCGAGGTCTGGGAATGTACTGCCCAGGCCAGGCGCTGTGCTCATGCTCTCTCTTCCAAGGACCCGGGGCCGGGGGGAGTTCTTTGGGCCTAAAGGACAGATCCGTGCAGAACCCGACATGTCACAGGCTAAGCCCATCTGGGCTGCACCCAAGAGCCCGTGGTCCCTGGGGGGCAGGGCCCCTAGGGGGTGGCCAGTACCGGCCTGTGGGATTTGAATCTGGGGCTGGGGTGGAGGGGCGGGCAGGCAGGGCAAGCTGCTTGGCCTCTCTGTGCTTCAGTGTCCTCATCTGTAAACCCAGGTGACAGATCCCCCGAAATTCTTCTTGGACAGACCCTCCCATCTTGGCTACAGCAGGGTGTCTACAGCAGGGTGCCGTGGGCTCTCCTGCACCCTCACATTGCACCTGGGGGGCCTCCCACTAGTTAACGACCAGCAGCCCACCAGCCACGTCAGCTCCCTCCCCGACCACCACAACTCCTCCTCCTCCAGTCAATGTCAAGCATCCCTCTCGAATCCAGAGCTACAGGAGCCCTGCAATCTGTCCATGTGAGGACCCACGGCCTGCCCCTCACTGTGTCCCCATAGGACCACACTGCCCTCCTGCCCAGAGCACAGGCCCCAGTCCACGCATCAGTCTGTCCTTGCCCAGCACCCGAGCCCCTGCACCCTTTACATTTGTGCCCCGCACAGATCAGTGACAGCTGTCCACACACACCACAAACTGCAAGTGGCCAGAGACAGACACCGTAAACTAGCCAGCAGGCTGCCTGTCCCTTCACCTCCTGGTCACCAGCCTCGACTGGCCCACAGAGAGACACCCCCCCAAGTCTACACCCTGTGCCTCTTTTTAGGGAACCATTTTATGGCTTCTCCTGACACCGTCTCCCTCCTCACTCTCTCAGCGATGACTGTGTGCCTCATCTCCAAGGAAGCAGAGGCCATCAGAGCCCCTCAAAGCCCTGCTTTTCACCAGCCAGCCTCCCCCGTAATCAGAAGTACACCCCGCGCTCTCTATCTTGGCCCGGTCCCTTTCACAGCCAAGAGCTCTCAGCACCATCCCCAGGACTGCTGCCCTCACCCAACAAAAAAGTGCTGGGTCTCCTGCCAGGACACAAGTTCTCTCCCTAGCCCACTGCCCTCGGCCATAGCCCCATCTCTCTGCTCCCTTCACAAGAGTGTCTGCCTGGCCTCCCTGTCTGCACCCCTCTTCCACCCGCTCCTCTGCCCACCTTGAGCCCATTCTTTGCAGGCTCTGCCTCCGATAAAACTGCTTGTCAAGGTCCCTAACAACGTCCCTATGGCTGAGTCCCTCCGCCATTCTCAGCTGTCGGCCTTGACCTGTCATCAGCAGGTGTCTGCTCACCGACCTCAAAGGCTTTCTGACGGGGTGTCCAGGCCCCACAGGCTGCCCCAGGTATCTCCTCCTTATTTGCCCTCTGTGGCCACCCAACTTGCCCCTCCGCCCCATGCCCAGGCTCACACAGGCAACTGCTTCCTCCAGGTCCTGCCGCACCTGCCCTCCAGTCTCTACCATGGCCTCGGCCCCCACTTTCAGCTGAGGTCGCAAGGGCCCAGAGTCACGCTCGAGTCCCTCAAAGTCCTGCATCTTTCGCCTCAGCAACGCCTTTCAAATCTGCCCAAAACTGGCCACTGTTTCTGCCTCCTGCGTCCATGTCCCCTTCGGGACCGTCCACCTCTCCCGGCTGAGTGTGCCCGCTCATCTACCTCCTCTCCTGTGCCTCAGGGTCTGGTCCCCAAGAGACTCTGATAGGTGACCATCAGTTACGTCACCCCTAGACTCAGAATTCTCCAATAGTCCCCCATCTCCACAGTAAAGGCCTAAGGTTTTTATTTTTTCAGATTATTAACAAACCTGAAAAGTTTTATTTCTGTTCCTAATATCCCTGGCCACACTGCCTCACCTTCCTCTCATCGTTACCCACTCACAGCGGTCTTCGTCTCACTCGCTGTCTTCCCAATCCCACCCCTGGCTACTGCTCCTCCCCAGCACCCAGACCATCCCCGGCACAGGACAAGGCCACCGCCCCTTGTCCGAACGTCCTGGCCACACCGCCTTCCTGCTGCTCCTCAGACCCACCCCTGCACCAGAACCAGCATGGCCTCTGCTCATGCTCCCACGAGCCCAGGGAGACAACCCACACAGCGCAGCTCAGGAGGAGAGCGAGGGGGCTTACCATACTTGACGTCTGGGACGGTGACAGAGCTCTCTGCAATGTTGGTGGACAGAATAATCTATCAAACATCAAGGAAAGACTGACGTTCTTAACCAGACACTGGAAATCACTAGGCAAAGTTAAAAAACTCAAAACTCAGATTATTTAAGAGCTTCTTAATGTACATACAGGATCCAAATGTAAAATTCGTCATTTCCCATTTTATCCACATCACACTTGATCAAAGGTCCTGGGGCGGGGGGTGTGGAGGAGTCAGTGCAGTGCGGCCTCAACAGCGAACCTGCCGGGACCCTAGCTCTGCTCCACAGGTAGGACCTCGGGCCAGTCACTTACCTGGTTTTTCTCTTATATGAAATGGAGAAAAGAGTCACACCTACCCTCACGGCTGCTGTGAAGACCACACAAGTTAATAAATGGAAAATGCTCAGACCTGCCCCTGGTGTGAGTGAGGGGTCAGTAGACAGCAGCTATTTTTGTTGGACACCTGCCTCGTGTCGGGCATGGATGTGCCACAATGTAAGTGCAGGCAATTCACCTTCCTAACTCTGAAACACAAATATTACTGCCCCGATCTTCAAAGTATAACTCAGTCACACAACTACAGGTGAAAGACCCAAGTCACCTGCCCAATTCCACATGTGCGGAACCCTACACATCTGTGTAGTACTACTTCCTCCCCAGGAGGTCCCTCTCAGGGGCGAAAGATGGGAGCTGCTGGAACCCAGGGAAGGCTGCAGCTGTAGTGGCCCTGGGTTCCAGCAGGTCGAGGCTGCCCTGGAGGCTCAGAACTCCCCTGGTCAAGGGCCCCAGACCGCAGCAGCTGGCTCCAGAAGGGCTGTGATGGGACAACCCCACCCTCCACACAAGCTAAGACTGAATACATCCTCATAAACCAGGAGGGTTCTCACCACAGTCGCCAGAGCAGTGCCAGGGACACCAGAATAGTCCCAGCTTTGAGAAATGACAAAGGAAATAAAAAACCCTAGCAAACTAGTGTCGAAATCAAAGACAAAATGAAACAAGGCCTGGCTCATCAGGCAGGCGTTCGTTTAGGTGACTAACACCAGCTGCAGCACACGGGGCCCCTCAGGGGGACCACCGGCGTCCTCCCCAGCGGTCCAACCCTACCTTTCTGTATCCAGGGACTGGGCTCAGGAACACGTTGTTCTGCTCCTCCAGTGTCACGCTCGAGTGCAGGGGATAGACCTGCAGCCTAGGAAACCGATGAGTGCAACAAAATGAACAACTCTTCACTGAGATCAAACTATTTAAGGCAGAAACAATACAATTGCTTATAAGAATTAGCAATATCATTTAAACACACCTTTTTTGAATCATGTTTGTGAGAAGTTCATGCATATAGTTTATTTCACTCAGACCTAGAGAAGAAAAAAGGGGAGGTAAAGAAAAACACTTGTATTTATTGCTAAAAACCAACCTTTAAATTAAGATGACATCTTTTCCAAAGAAGGCCCTACCGCCTCATTTGATTTGCTCTTCACCCTCTCCACCTAAGCATCTGGGATGACAAGTGAAAAGGTACAACAACACAGAGTACTAGACTTCGAAAGGTGAAAACCTCTGTATTCCTCTCGGTTTCCTTTCTGCAGCAGTGGCTGCCCGTGACGGCTGGCCACGTGAGTCAGTTTACATTGTTTTCCCACTGATTTTCTTAATTTCCTACAACAAGCATGAAATAGTCGTTACAACCAAAAAATAATCGTTAAAAAGTATTAAATGTTATCACTATAAAATAGTATTACTATTAAGTATTAAAATATTTAAAAAGATGAGAGACCGAGAGGATACCGCAAATGACGGAGAAACAGCGGTGACGTAGCCCAGAAGCTGGAAGAGGGCAGGGACAGACTCCCGCAGAGCCTGGAGGGAACGCAGCCTGCGGGTGCGGGACTGTGACCAGTGCTGCCAGCATGCCAGCACGTGAAGGTGCATTTGTTATTTCAGGCCTGCACAGCTGAGCCAGGCACTTTGTTACAGTGGCCCTAGAAAACTAATCCAGAAGCCTTCACGCAAGGCCAATTAATAAAATAAGAGTATGTGAAACCTGAGCTCTCATAAACACACAAAAGGAAGACAAACTATCAAGGATCACTTATAAACAGATGACTCAGGCTATGTGTATCAGTTACGAGGAACTGATGCCCTATCAGGCGTTCCACTAGCGCCTCCATGGCTCCACTTTGGTCACCTTTCTCCTTAACAGGCCTTTTGCACCGAGATTTGGTATCTCTTGGGGCAAATGCAATTCCACCCCACTACCCACTGGTGGTGCTCCCTGGATACAACACTGACGCACAGCCAGCAAAGCAAATGAGCCAGAGCTTCCAGCTCAAAGCTGGGCTGCAGATTGGGTCTCCACTGCCTCCAGGAGTCACGTGCTCTGCACAGCGCCTTCACAACAAGACTGAATACTGTCACCATGTTCCATCAAGCTGCTCCACCTCATTAAAAATCAAACACATCATTTTGAAAAAGTACAATTTAACAAAAATTAATCTTTTGGGGTATTTTAAGAGTATTTTCTGAAATACTCGGAAAGAAACTCAAGGACTAACATGATGACTCTCACAGTATTACAATAATACCACTATGACTTAATAATATTTAATGTTATTATCCTAAGCAAAACAAGCCAATCAGAGAAAGACTAATATCACTTATTTGTGGAATATAATGAACAAAACAAACTGATGAACAAAATAGACTCAGAGACATAGAAGTAGGGTACCAACTGACAAACCTCAGAAGGGGGGCTGGGGGAGGGAAGGAAGAGATAAAACACACAACTTATATGCAGGTATGCGTAACCATCGACATAGACAACAATGCTGGGGAAAGGTGTGGGGGTGGGATCGGGAGGAGGGGGTCAATGGGGGAAAAAGGAGAAACATTTGTAACAAAAGTAAATTAATAAAAAAATAAAAAAATAAAAATAGTATTTAATGTTACCAAACAAGCTTTATTAGAGACTAATGACAATTACCTCAAATTTATAACCACATACAGGCTTAACAAAGCAAATTTAACAAAGTCTAGTATCTTATTGAAAATTTTGAAGGGGTAAGACTGCCTCCAAAAAATTAAACTCTTCATTATCAATCTTGTAAGCGACACAAAGGTTACAATAACTAGCAAAACTGAAAATTCCAACTGTTCACATTCTCAGGTTTAGAAAGAATAAGCCCAAATGGAGAACACCGTTTCTCACTACAAGTGCTAGACACGCATGAGCCTCTGCGCAGGCACTCCAAGTCGGGGTCCGAGCTGACACTCACCGGGCAGAAACACCAGCACACTGCTCCGCTCCCACACGAACTGCGTGCCCGACCAGCTCTTGTTCCTGTTGGAAACGTGAGGTGTGCAGATGTTAACCCAGGTGAAGACAGCGCTGCTTCTCCAGAATCCTAGCACTGCAGAGCACACAGTGCAGCCTTCTCCCACGTAAGGGAATGCAGCGTCCCAAGGATGGCTCCCAAGACCCCAGGCTTACTGGGGACCCCAAACCTCTTTGTTCCCATTATTTTCTCCTAAAAACCATCTGTAAAAGTTTTCCTTGAAAATTAGTTATTGTGCCCTGGCTGGTTTGGTTCAGCAGTTAGAGCGTCGGCCTGCGGTCCGAAGAGACCCGGGTTCAGTTCCCGCTAAGGGCGTGTGCCTCGGTTGCAGTTTGTCCCCGGCCCTGGTCGGTCGTGCGGGTGGCAGCCATGCCATGTGTTCCTTTCACGTCGATGTTTCTCTCTCTCTCTCTCTCTGTTCCTCTCTCTCCCTCCCACTCTACCTGAACAAAAAAATGGGAAAATGTCCTCAGGTGAGGATTAAAAAAAAAAAAAAAGAAAATTAGTTATTGTAATCCAGAACCTCAAATACAAAACATTTAAAATTAATTCTATGCCCTGGGTGGGTAGCTCAGTTGGTTAGAGCGTCACCCCGATACACCAAGGTTGCAGGTTCAATCCCCGTTAGGGCACATACAGGAGTCATCCAATGAATGCAGAAACAAGTGGAACAACAAATCAATGTCTCTCTCTCTTTTCCTCTTCCTCCTTTCTCTGTCTAAAATCAATTTAAAACTGTCTTTAAAATAAACTCTAAGGAGTCCCAACTATTATTAGGAAGCCCTTTCACAGAATAAGGCCTCAAATCATACCCTTCTGCCACCCCCACCCCTCCAGGTTCCTGCCACTATATTACTTTGTGTGAAATGAGGAGCCTTCCTCTGCAAACTTGCAACCCCACCCACCTGGTTATTTGAAAAGATAAACAAAATTGATCCCGATCTACTGCAGAGAAAAACTAGGTGAAAAGCCTGGAACAGTTTGTGCCCAAAAGAAAGAAAATGTTGTGTGTCATCCTGGCTGGTTTGGCTCAGCGGTTGGAGCATCGGCCTGAGGTCCAGAGAGACCCGGGTTCGGTTCCCGCTAAGGGCATGTACCTCGGTTGCAGTTTGTCCCCGGCCCTGGTTGGGTCGTGCGGGTGGCAGCCACTTGATGTGTCCCTTCACATCAATGTTTCTCTCTCTCTCTCTCTCTCTATCTTCCTCTCTCCCCCTCACACTCTATCTGAACAAAAAATGGAAAAATGTCCTTGGTGAGGATAAAAAAAAACAGAGCTGAGAAGCATTCAGCTGAAGGGAGTTGGAGGGGTGCCTAGAGTGAGGCCCCTCGTCCTAGGTCTGTCCAGGAGGGATGTGGGACAGTGAGTAACTACGCACGCCAGTCTGTCTACCTTTCACCACTGGTGACGGCAAGAAGGGACACTGGGGCGTGTGCATCTCCATGGGCACAGGAGGTGAGATCCGCAGGCAGTGAGCACAGTGAAGGCTCAGAATGCAGCACCCTAGTTTCAAAACTACACTGACCACCACTTACAACCTAAAACTGCTAAGGAAGAGGTGCTTCGGTTGGACCCCAGGAGACTTGGCGTTGGGAGCCCACCTCTGCGAGAGAGAGACCGTGGGGACAGCACAGCGGGGTCTGGAAAACGGTCCTCAGGCTGCGCTTTCCAGCTTTCAAACCTGTCAGTCCCAAGATCACACATGGCATGGTCTTCACTAATTTCAAGTGGGAATTTCCAGTAAAATATTGCAAGATACTAACTTTATTTTTAAATCTATAGAGTGACTACTAAAAAAGTTTCTACAGCTAAATCTTAACATCATAAAGTTTCAAACTGAGCGACCCAAGTTTTAACACCCTACACGTCCAGCATGTGGCCAGCTGAGGGTCTCTTACCCACTCTCTTTCATGTCCATGTCGTCAAACATCTGGACGAGGGAGACGGCGACTTCGTACATATCCTTGGTGATCACAGGCTCCTCCAGGACATGGGGAGGAAGCTGAAACCAGAGGGGACACCGGGACACCATGTGAGTGACTGGGCGGCACTGCCTTCAGTGCATCACTGGGATGAACACCCCAGAGAGGTCACAGCGTTTGCAGCCAGTGTCAGAGCATGGGCAAAGTGTCACACACAACTCACGCACTGACATACAGGACACCCGGCGAGGGTCAGAGTCCAGGCACAGAAGTGCCGGCAGGAAACCGGTTTGAAAACAGAACACACTGCTCCGAGTGTCTCTGGGGCCCGGGAGCGGAGGCCCAGAGTCAGTGCTATCATCTCCCGCCACTTCCAGGGGCCCAAGACATCCACCTCATCACATGCAGGAAGTAGTCCTTAAAAATCAAAAGTCCTGCCCTGGCCGGTTTTGCCCAGTGGTTAGAGCATCGGCCTGCGGTCCGGAGAGACCCGGGTTCAGTTCCCGCTAAGGGCGCGTACCTTGGTTGCAGTTTGTCCCCGGCCCTGGTTGGTTGTGCGGGTGGCAACCACTCGATGCGTCCCTTTCGCATCGATGTTTCTCTCTCTCTCTGTTCCTCTCTCTCCCTCCCACTCTACCTGAACAAAAAATGGAAAAATGTCCTCGGGTGAGAATGATTGAAAAAAAAAAAAAAAATCAAAAGTCCCAGGAAAAGGGAATGCCCCACATACCGGTCAATTTACAATGATAACGCCTCTGCTCTGGCTGGTTTGGCTTAGCGATTAGAGCGTCGGCCCGCAGACCAGAGTCGTGGGTTTGATTCCAGTCAAGGGCACATACGTTTCTAGATTGCAGTTGGATCCCCAGCCCTGGTCAAGGTCTTGCAGAAGGCAGCCAATTGATGTGTCTCTCTCAAATAGATGGTTCTCTCTCTCTTTCTCCCTCCCACTCTATCAGAAGATAAATAGAAAAATATCCTCGGGTGAGGATTAAAAAAAAAATCACAATAGCTCTGGTCAGTTTGGCTCAGTGGTTAGAGCGTTGGCCTGCGGTCCAGAGAGGCCCGGGTTCGGTTCCCGCTAAGGGCATGTACCTCAGTTGTAGTTTGTTCCTGGCCCCAGTTGGGGTTGTGTGGGTGGTAACCAATCGATGTGTCTCTCTCACATCGCTGTCTCCCTCCCACTCTATCTCAAGATAAATGCAAAAATGTCCTTAGGTGAGAATAAATTTTTTAAAAATCACAATAATAACACCTCTGCATCGTAGTGTGTTGCCCGGGTTTAGGGTCACTGTCACTAAAGCAGACGAAGCCCAGGTCCCTGGGGATGGCCCTCAGGCACCTCTCAGGACATGACTTGACCAGAGGCAGCCCCGCAGCAAGGTAACAGCTGCGCTCTGAGCTGACAGTGGTCATGGCTGAGACCACCACTGAGCAAGTGTCTCGCCAGAACTTCCATAAAATCTATTTTACAGCTGTTCTGAAGTTTTTCCAAGAAAACTTTGTTTAATCTTACTTACCAAGTAATGTGTGTGATACCGCATTTGATTTTGTCAAGGACACCTCAAAAGAACCCTTCAAGGGATGAGAAGTTTCCACAGATGCAAACTGGTTTTCAACTTTTATGTAACAGTTAATTAGGTCAGCTAATATTCAAATAATGCGTTTTTCATTTTTCTTACAGTTCTACTAGTATATAATAAATGACTTCTGCCAAGCTGGTGTGGCTCAGTGGCTGGGCATGGACCCATCCACCAAGAGGTCCCAGTTCAATTCCCGGTCAGGGCACATGCCCAGGTTGTGGGCCCGATCCCCAGTGGGGGGCACGCAGGAGGCGACCAATCGATGTTCTCTCTCATTGATGTTTCTCTCTCCCTCTCCCTTCCTCTCTTTCTAAAATCAATAAAGAAAAAAAATTTTAACTGACTTTTATTTAGTGAATACTTTTAAAGGAGCATGTCTAATAAGTCCACTTTTGAAGGTCAACCTTTACCTTAAATAATTTTACACTTTATCCAAACAATTATATTTACCATAACACATTATACAAAAAATAAATAGAAAAAGATCGTTTTCGCAAACTCCAATCATGGCATTCAAACCCTTCTAGAATTGTTTGGGGGCTTTTCTAAGGGTTTTGACAATGAAAAAAGTTGAAAGCAAAGCAGGCAGAGGACTCTTCAGAGAACACTGGAAGCACAGACGGAGCTGGTGCCAGAGGACCAGGAGGGCCGTGGGACCCAAGGGCAGCATGACTTTCAGTGGCATGCAAGGGGCCAATGGTGTGGCCCTTACAGAGGTCAGGCAAGTTCATGTTCAGGGCAGACAGCTGTGGACATAGTGGGGTCACCGGCTGAAGTGAAGCACGGGGACAAGGAGCGAGGAGCACAGGGTGGAGAGGGCGTCGACGCTGGGGGCTGAGACAAAGTCTGGGAAAGCTACGGGAAGCACAGGACTACGAGGGTGCTTCTAGAGATGAAACAGGAAGCTCTGTTTGGACGTGGACAAGAGGAGTGTGCGTGGAGAGAAGTCCAGGCTCTCGGGTGGAGGCGGGAGACGGAACCGCGGGAGAGGCGGCTACGTCTCCTGGTAACAGCAGACAGGGCGCCTGGGCAAGGTGACTGGGGCAGTGAGAACAATGACAAAGGGGGTTCTGATCAAGGTCCTCTGACGTGACACACTCTGTATGACACTCTTTTTGTAAGGCTTAAAACTAGTACGTGGTTAAGTGTAGAACATTCATTCCCTGAATATTTCCTGACCACCTATCAGGTACCAATGACAGGACACTTTCTCTAGCCTGCTGATCACGACCCACGGGCCCAGGTGGCGAATGCCCAGGCCTGGCCCAACCCCACACACATCCACAGCGGTCGTGTGAAAGTCTGGGAGTCAGACACACAGCACAAAAGAAACGTCAGCAAGAAGCAGGGAGACTGGCTCGTGGAGAAGACTGGAGGACTCACTCACTCTTCCAAAGCAGGTCACAAGTACAAACTGTCCACTGCCCTCGGCACCGAGGACTCAGTTCCAGAGGACAGTGAGAGGACACACCCAGGTGGTGTGGGAAGTGGAGGGAGGGGTCAGCCCAACAGTGCCAGTGAGGAACATGCTGGTAAAGGATGAGACAAAGGCATGCACACCTGGAACCCCTCCCCAAACCCAGAACCCCACTGTACTCCAGAGGAAAGTCTCAGGCCAGTCGCAAGAGGGACACCCTACAGAGCCGCCCAGCAGTCTGTCCGTCCCACAGAGCCGCCGAGCCGTATGTCCGTCCCACAGAGCCCCCGAGCGGTCCGTCCGTCCCACAGAGCCGCCAGCGGTATGTCCGTCCCACAGAGCCGCCAGCGGTATGTCCGTCCCACAGAGCCCCCGAGCGGTCCGTCCGTCCCACAGAGCCGCCGAGCGGTCCGTCCGTCCCACAGAGCCGCCAGCGGTCCGTCCGTCCCACAGAGCCGCCAGCGGTCCGTCCGTCCCACAGAGCCGTCGAGCGGTCCGTCCGTCCCACAGAGCCGCCGAGCGGTATGTCCGTCCCACAGAGCCGCCGAGCGGTCCGTCCGTCCCACAGAGCCGCCGAGCGGTCCGTCCGTCCCACAGAGCCGCCGAGCGGTCCGTCCGTCCCACAGAGCCGCCGAGCGGTCCGTCCGTCCCACAGAGCCACCAAGTGGTCCGTCCGTCCTACAGAACAGCCGAGTGGTCCTCCTGAAACAGGCGCAGTCACCTGAAGTGAAAGAAGCGTGAGAACGCTCCAGCCCTGGGGCCTCCGGAGCCCGGATGACTGAGCGCATGTGGGTGCTGGACGGTGGGAGGGTGCAGGGGGCCCCAGCACGGTCCGGAGGAAGTGCAGAGCAGTGGCGGCACCACCTGAGCGAGCACCCCCGCCTGGCGTTTCCGTGCGTGTCGGCTGGAGGACCTCGGTGATGCGCCGGTAAATCTGCACTACTAAATCCTTCCAATTCTTCTGTTCTTTTGAAGTGTCATTTTAAAAGTTGAAATCAACCCTACATTTTCACGGCATCACTGGCCTCACCCTGACGCAACCCGACAAACCTCCCCATGTCAGGTGAAGCCTAGCCAGCCGCCTGCCGGAGCAGAGGCAGCTGCTCACGCTGACATCACTACCGGCGTCGATGCAGTTCAGACCCCAGCAGCCCAGCGCCCCTTCCAGGACTTGCCCTGGAGAACCTGTGCCCTGGCTCACCGCAGAGCGCAGCACGTGCTCCAGGTCACCGAGGTAGTACTCTTCAATCGAGTGGGGTTGCCCGGCCACCTCAAACACGTATGCAGGGTTCATCTTGTTCTGGACAGGAACGGCAAAGTAATCCGCAAACTCCCTGCAGTTGATGGTGGCCGACATGAGGATGACCTGCAGAGTGAGCACCAGGAAGAGAGCGGATGAGACGGTAAGGGTGGAAAAGAACTGCTCTGCGAATTCCGGCTTGTCTGCTGCTTTAACAACTTCTGAGACTTTATTAGAACACACTGCTTTAATCTAGTGTGAGACAGCTTAGTTCAGTTTAAAGAATTCCCAGAGGACCTATCCTGTGTGATTCAGTGGTTAGAGTGTTGGCCCAAGAACCAAAGGGTCTCGGGTTCGATTCCTAATCAAGGGCACATACCTAGGTTGCAGGTTCCATCTCTGGCTGGGGTCATGCAGGAGGCAACCAATATATTGGTGTATTTTTTTGTTGTTGTTTTATCCTCACCCGAGGATATTTTTCCCATGTATCTTCAGATAGAGTGGCGGGGAGGGCAGAGAGAGAGAAATCGACTGGTTGCCTCCCGCATCGACCCGATCAGGGTCAGGGACAAACCACAACCAAGGCACGAGCCCTTGAACAGAATCGAACCCGCAACTCATTAGTCTGCAGGCCAACACTCTAACCGCTGAGCTAAATTGGCCAGGGCTACATCGATGTTTTCTTTTTATTCTTTTTCTTTCTTGATTTTAGAGAGAGAGGAAGGGAGGGGAGAGAGAGAGAGAAACATCGATGAGAAAGAACGTCAACTGGCTGCCTCCTACATGCCCCCCACTGGGGATTGGGCCCACAACCTGGGCATGTGCCCTGACCGGGAACCAAACCCACGACTCTTGGTGCAGGGTCGACGCTCAACCACTGAGCCACACCGGCCAGGCTACATGGATGATGTTTTTCTCTCTCTCTCCTCCTCTTCCCTCCCTTTCCATTTTATCTAAAAGTCAATGGAAAAGTATCCTCCGGTGAGGATTAACAAAATAAATAAATATAAAAAGTAAGAAGAAAGGAATTTCTGAGTGTTTCAAAAAACTGATTACAAAACCATCTAGAATTTGAATTCTAATTTCCTGGCCCAATTACATACACCCTATAAAGGTTCTCATTCAGAAAACACTCTGCTCCATATATTCTCAAACTACCATGAAGATGCTGACGCTGAACAGCCATCTCCTGCTGCTCATAAAGCAAGCACAGGGTCCCTGCCACCAGTCAGCAGGGCAGTGACTGAAAATCTACGGCACTCTTAATTCTCTTTACTACTGAAAACTAGAAAAAAAAATCAGGTCATTATCTTAGAGCAAAAACGGTCTTAGAACAACAATCAAATGCTCCAATTTGTTGAACAATCTTTAATGTCACCTTTAAGTTAAAATTCCAAAAGGAACATAATGGCCAAATGCTCTCATTTCAGTGACCTCAAGCAGAAAGACAACGCCCTGCTAACATCGAGTTCTGTTTACTAGTCCCACCAGAGGAGAACACCCCAGGTAGACGGTCCCCACCTTGGGGTGGGAGAGAAGTGTTTCCCTAGATGAACAAACAGATGAAACACTTGCAGACAGAACACTGATTTAGACACACTTGATTTCCATGGACAGCAGGTCTTTCCGCAGCCCCTTCCCAAACGACGAACAGCCCAGTTACTGCTACCCTTTATCAAGTGGTTTCCCAAGGCCTCTGGTTAGCAACGCTAGCGGACCTATGTCTAGGCTGCATAATATTAAAACCTTCACAGTTGTGGCCTAGTCCACGCCTCCCTTTCTGTTCAGATAAGGTATAAACAATATCTACCACCCCCAGGAACTTTCAGTTAATTCGTAACTGAAACCCTAAAACAGCAGTGTGCCTCACAGTTCTCAGCCTTCCGTGTGCTCTGGTGCTATTTTCAGAACAGAGACTGCAGGCGCAGTCACAGACCTTTAAACTGTGGTGCTCACTCAACCGGAATCGAAGCTCTAATACCCAGCATTTCATTATAGTCATTTATCATTAGGTCGTTTTTTACAGGCTGGAGAAAAAGCTTTACAATTAATACAACAGAATAACCAAAATGTATTTCAAACTCTGACCCTAAGAGCACTCCCCCTAGCCAGCTTGCCAGCAAGATCTGGACTCCACATGGCAATGGGTTTTAAGAGTCACTGCTTAGCCCTGGCCGGTTTGTCTCAGCAGTCAGAGCGTCGGCCTACAGTCCAGAGAGACCCGGGTTCGGTTCCCACTAAGGGCATGTACCTCGGTTGCAGTTTGTCCCTGGCCCTGGTTGGATGGTGTGGGTGGCGGCCACTCGATGTGTCCCTTTCACGTCGATGTTTCTCTCTCTCTCTCTCTCTCCCCCTCCCACTCTATCTGAACAAAAGCTTATGTGAAAATAAAGAGAAACAAAAATAACAGCCCTGACCAATTTGGCTCCTCAGTTGGAGCATCAGCTTGAATTCAATTCCGGTCAGAGGGCAGATGCCTGGATTTCGGATTCGGTCCCCGGCCCCGGTGGGGGTCATGCGGGAGGTGGCCAATCAATATGTGTCTCTCTCACATCAATGTTTCTCTCTCTCTCTCTCTCTCTTTCTCTCTCTCTCTCTCCCCCCTCCCTTCCACTCAATGGAAAAATATCCTCAGATGAGGATTAATAAAAACAAAAACTAAATAACAAATCTTAATCTTAAATATTTGTTACTCATGAAATCAAATTTACCTTCACAAAACGTGAATTTGTTCTTAAAAGTTTGCGGACTACCAACAGCAGGAAATCCATTTCTTCGGTTCGCTCATGTACCTACAAAATAAGAAAGGGGCTCCCCTACATGGCACCGGCAGCACTGCACTCACGGCATAGCTGAATGAACAAGGAAGAGTTGCTGGTGGCGAGTCAGCTCTCTGCTGAGTGCGCTTCCTCGAGGGACTGGTGTCACTCCTGGGGTCAGTCCTGGCTAAACGGAAGCAAAGACCATGGACCCACAAACCAGAGAGCCTAAAAGAGGTTGTGTGAGTCCTGTCCCCCAGCGGTTCTCTTTGGGACCCTACTGGCACTTGGGGAGAGTGATGTTTAGCATCCTTGGCCCTGCCCACTCAATGCTAACAGTGCCCTGGGTGTGACTGTGACAACCAAAATCATCCCCACCAGCCCCAGCACAGAGAACCACTGGGCCAAGCTCACACCTCTGCAGGTCACAGGTCACACTGTCACTTCAGCAAGTGCTGGCAGGGCGGAAGCTGCGCCCAGGCAGCGGTGCCCGCTGACAGGACATGTCCTGTGACTTGAGGACTGCAGATCCGACGATGGGAGGGCTGGTCCTGGACAGGCCGGTCAGGAGAGCTGCAGGGCGCTGGGACAGCGCTGCTTCGTGGCCCTCCTCACAGAGGCCTTCCTGTCTGGGCCAACCCAAGGACGAGCGCCACCCCGGCCATCCCACACCAGAGCCAGCTGACAGCACAGGGCCAGGACACGGGGCTATTTTCCTATCAGTCAGGACACCTGGACACACAAGGGGACAGTAAGATTCCACTGTGGGACATTCTCTGCCAAAGTGGAGAGATAAGCTGCTGCGTGTGAAAGCAGGTCTCTTCTCCGCGGTGTGACAGCCCAGGTGACTGAGTCTGGGACAGTCATCCCACGTCCTACCACCTTCCTGAGTCCCGTGAAGCAGAAGTGTAGGGAAGAGGTACAGAGGAAAGAAACACCAGCCGCCAGGTGGCACGTAAGGGTCACGTATCAAGGCTGGAATTCCTAACCCTTATTTCATCACCCAGCGACTCCAGAGCACGTCCTCAGCACAGGCGTCCTGTTCTTACCTGCGAGGGAAGAAGCTGCTCATCGCTGACTGCCCAGAGGGAGGCCTCTCCTCGTGTGCAGGCCCCACGACCCCCACATTCTGGTTCCTACTCCACACAACCCGGCTTGTCCCCGGGACTCCCGCTGCCCTGAAGACCCCACTCGGGCCCACCCCAGCTCCTCCTGTGAGCCAGCGAGGACCGCGAGCACCCACCTCGTCGATGAAGATGTGCGTGAAGGCCACCAGACTCTTGGCACTGACGATCTTCTGAAGCAGGACCCCCGTTGTCATGTAGATTAGCCTGGTGTCCTCTGTGGCTACTTTCTCCAGCCCTACCTAAATGTGGGGAGGGAAGGGGGAAGGAGAAAGTCTCAGGCTTAAATGACTGCATTTAACTCCCAAGCAAGGCCATGTTCATTTTCTCATGGAGGTAAGATTACAGGTCACTAAAACACAGGGTTCAAAGTAAAGCTAAAGTTTGGTTGATTTTTTCCTTTTTGGGTGGGAGCCTGGCTTGTCTAGTCATACCGGTTCTATCACTTTTACATTAAGACAACTGTGAATGAAGACATCTACATATAAGAATAAAATTAAAAGGTTAAAATTGTAAATGCCATGAGTGTAAAATTGTAAAAGCCTGCGAATTCTCACTTCTTCTCTATTCAACTGGAAAAAAATAAAGTTATTTTCAAGAAATTCAGAATTTTGCCCTGGCCAGTTTGGCTCAGCAGTTAGAGCGTCGGCCCACGGACCAGGGAGTCCTGGGTTTGGTTCCCGCTAGGGGCACATACCTCGGTTGCAGTTTGTCCCCAGCTCCGGTTGGGGTCGTGTGGGTGGCAACCACTCAATGTGTCTCTCTCACATCGATATTTCTCTCTCTCTCTCTCTCTTTCCCTCCCTCTCTCCCTCCCACTCTATCTGAAGATAGATGCAAAAATGTCCTCGAGTGAGGATAAAAAATTTTAAAAATTTTTAAAAATTCAGAGTTTCATTCTTGTTTTAATTATGCCATAGTTCTGCTCTATATGCAATTGAGTCGCTTCCATTTCCAGCAGGACATAACTGGATCTGGATAAAACGTGAACAGGAAAGGGGTCCTCTCCGGGTCCAGCTCACCTGGTAGCCCACCAGGCCCCCCAGAGTCCAGGCGCGCTCCCTGCTGATCCACCTGGCCATGCTGCTGGCCCCGATCTTCCGCGGCTGGGTGACCGCGATGTGGCAGTAGGTGGAGCGCTGGATGCAGTGGTCTAAGATGTACTGCGGCAGCTGAGTGCTCTTGCCGCTGCCCGTGGCACCGTGGATGATTACCACAGAATTACTTTCTATCAAAGAAATAACCTAGAATTGAAAAAAACAGCTTTCAAACTTGCCACAAAATTAACAATACAAAGTATTAACTGTGAACCAAAAGCTTTCTCTTGGGAAGACTTTCAGGATTTATTTTCCTCTCATCTTTAAAAGTTAAGTTAATGCATATATGAGTAACCAATGGACATAGACAACAAAGCTGGGGATGGGGTGTGGGGGTTGGGAGGAGGATGTCAATGGGGGGGGAGGAGAAACATCTGTAATAAAAATAAATTAATAAAAATTATTTTTAAAAAATAAATAAAAGTTAATAACCACCTAAATACCACAAAGGAAAGCAAAAAGGTTAAACATTTGCTACATTTAAAACCCTCTCGACCATGATGGACAGCAACAGTTAGGCTCCGGCAAACCAGGCTGGTTCAGCTGTCTGCATCTTCATCTAGAAAAATGAAAAACTGAACTGGGGTTTCTACAGCTCGGGCTCAGTCTAGATTTCCATTATTCTAAAGTTTTAAAATAATTCTACTGAGAAACATGAAGTTCTAGTGAGAAAAACACGAAGACACACTGTTACACTCAAGTGGTTTTAAAATTCCATGTCAAACTCCTCAGACACGTTTAAACAGCTCGGTTCTGCTGTCCGGCTGCAGGCAGCAGGGGCATTGCCTCCACGGCCACCAGCGCCCTGCGCCACCCTGGACGTCTATAAGCGCTGCGGCCAGGGACACCACTCAATGTGCATACTGGCCTCAACACTAATCAAGATCTCCTCTACTAACATTGTGTGATCCACTCTAAAACAAAATAAAAATTAAATTCAGAAAATTTAGTTCTATCTGTAACTGCTTCTTCCACTAGTATAGTAAATAAAGTTTCCAATAGGCTTATTTTTACCCATTTTAATAACATGTAACTCATTTAGGAAGTGCCTGTAAATGCTGCTCTTCTGGCCCAGCATTGCTCAAAAAGGTACCTCGGTGACAGATCAAGTCAGTCACCAGGCAGAAGGGCACTCAGGGCAGAAGCAGGAAGAAAGCTCAGTGGGACGCTGGGGGACTGGGTGCCTTACTTGCTTTCTAAGGGAACAGAATAGTGAGTTTTCTGTAAGATGCTCTCCAGGAGGGTGAGCACATATTTACTCAGACCTACTTCAGAGAAAAGACTAGACAACAAACCAAATGTTAGAAGACCAGCTCGGGATGCTGAACAAATTAAGCACAGCCCCCTGACCTGGTGGTCACACAAACTGCCACCTGCTGACCACCTGGACACATCCTCCACTGCTCCAGAGCCTCATACATGCCAGGGCCTCGACACTTTCAGACTATAAACCAAAAGCGTCAGGTCTCAGCATTTATTCATACATCATGACAAGAATACTCTTACCTCTTCCTTACATCGATTTATAGGCAAATCGGGATATTTGTAAGTTGTCTCTGGGATGCATGTGACATTGCTTAATTTAGCCAAAGGTGGCCTTGGACCTGGATTCAGACAAAGCGAACAAATACAATGTTACTTTTTCTCTGAAAAAAAAATAAGGCAAACAACCCAATATCATTTCTAATCTATATATACACCATATTTACACACACACACACACACACACACAAATACAAAAAGACGTATTCTACAAGCTAACACAGTTAGCAGGTAATCTACAAAGGCCCTGGTCCCCAGTATTCATAGTTCACAGCAGGGGGGCATTGTCCCGTCCTCTCATCACAGCCCTCAACATTATAAACGCAGTACTATCTTCAAAGACATGAGACCTGTAAAGCATAGTACTCGTCATTTGAAAATGGTACTCAAAGGGTTAGCTTAGAGCCAAAGCGGCCAGGACTCAAAGGGTTAGCTTAAAGAACAAACATTTATTAGAGACTTCAATAGAACGCACCATTTTGTTAAGTATTCGTGTTCAATCCTTGCTACTAAAATAAATTGCTAGCAGACAACCAAAGACAACTTATGAAGCACAGGTAGCCTGAAAGGGGCAGCCTCACTCCAGTCAAGACTCATGACTCTCGCTCGACCTGTCTCACTCACTCACTCACCGTCCTCCTAGATGTTCCCCCTGTAATTCTGGACCTCTGGAAACCACTTGACAAGTTGACACAGCATCAAGATTCATGGTATATGAACTTCCAAAATAAACTCTGCGGCCTCCCTGTCTTGCCCACGTTCAGGCCCAAGCTCAGTCCCCTCCCCAGATGTCTGTCCCTGGCCCACCTGGCCTTTCCCCCAGCCCTTCCTCCCTCTGTCCCCATATCGCCTCCCTCCACCTTGCCATCGTCCCCTCCCACCTGATGTGCACGCACCCAAGCTCTTTTTTGTTTCCCTATTTTTTTTCTCTATATGTATTTGCAGTTTATTAATTGGGCTGATAACATATAACTAAAATATGGCTCCTTGCCTATATTTGAATCAGGGTGTGCAGACTTGTTCTGAACTTTAAAGAGAAGAGAAAAGAGCTAGAGCTGTCACAACCTCGCAAAGCAAAAGCAGCTCCTCTGTGGATGTATTCTTTTGGGGCCAGCAGGGGCCCCTGACTTCGGGGCCGCCCTACACATCCTGCCCTGTAGCTTTCTAACCCGCTCAGCCTCACTGCTGATGCCCAACTCTCCACAACCAGCACCTTCTTCCATTATCACACACTTTCCTTCCGTTCCTCCTCTCCGCTGGTAAGATGTCACTGCTGCCCTTCCGTCCTCCCACTGGTGAACCTCCTCCCAGGGCTGTTCCAGAAGCAATCTCAGCTACAGTCCTTAAAGCCAACCACCCTACCTTCAAACCACAGAGTTGGAGTAAAATCCCACGTGTGAACACTTGCTAACTTACACTGGGCTCCTACGTGTCATTCAATTATCTGGAACTCTGAATGGAGGCTGGATATCCAGACCAGCCCACAAATGCAAGAACGAAGATGATATTTACATAAACAGGGAAACACACACACCTTCCCATTCTTGATGCTGGCAGTGTCTCAATCAGTAACACCCTTTTCACATACTATATGGAAAGGTCGAGAATCCACATGGCCCCATGAATGAGGGCATAGGGAGGGAAGGGTTCCTGGGCCGGACTCTGCTGGAAATTGGGGCACAGGCAAGTGTGGGGGACAAAGCGGGAGTGAGGAGCTCAGGGAGGTGCTCTTCAAAGGGGAGAGAAGCTGACAGAGAGTCTTAGAAAGACAAAAAGGCAGCAGCTGTATTTCTGCTAAGACCTGAAGCCCTGGTCCAATGCTGCTGCCCCCTGGCAACATGGATGGGACTTAGAAGCCCTGACTGCGGGCACAGAAGCCCTAACTGTGCTGCCTAAACCACGGCCCTTCCCCTGCGCATCACACAAAGGCAAGCTGACGTTTCCAGGTCACTGGCTGAAGCAGACCCGGCACAGACTAAGCCTGCCTCCATGTCCAGCGCCAGAGGGAGGACAGGGAACCAGAGGGTGTTCGCAGCTGTGCAGTCTCTCATCTGGGCGTCAGCAACGAACCAAAGGTAGGTGACAGGGAAAGCATCATGGCTACATTCTCAAGGAAAAGACAATGGATAATTTAATGCAAATCAAATTACAGAAGGCAAAGTAGTCCCAAAGCGACATGAGAAGTCCCTCAACCTCAAAAAGAGCTGTTCAGTGTTCAGTCTTTATCCTGGGTTACTAACATTAAAATACTTTACATGAACTGGAAAAATCTGGTAACCATAAAACACATTAGTTTTTATTCACGAAGCTACCCCACTATGAAATCTAACAAAAAAATTCAGTGGTTAGGGTTTCCAAACAGGATGTGATGGATTTTAACTGGAGAACATGTTAACGTTTCTCATCTTAAAATCTAGACACTATACATTTTAGAAAATAAACTCAACTCCTGCATTACCGATTTAACCGTGAAATTAAATCTTCAAAATAAGTATCTACATTTCACTTTCTCCAAGTATGGAATGGTATGCTGAAGACAAAATTAAAAAACTAGAATGAGCCCTGGCCGAGTTGGCTCAGCGGCTGGACTCTCTGCGGACCAGAGAGTCCCGGGTTCGGTTCCCGCTAGGGGCACGTACCAAAAAAAAAAAAAAAAGCCTAGAATGATGCCTTGGCTGGTTTTGCTCAGCGGTTAGAGCATCAGCCCCCGAACCAATGAGTGGCGGGTTTGATTTTGGTCAGGGGCACGTGCCTCAGTTGTGGTTCATCCCCAGTCCTGGTTGGGATCGTTTGGGAGGCAACCAGTCAATGTGTCCCTCTCACGTCAATGTTTCTCTCTCTTTTGCCCTCTCTTCTCTCTCTCCCTCCCCCTCTATCTGAACAAAAATGGTAAAATATCCTCAGGTGAGGAATAAAAAAAAAAAAACTAGAATGTTTCCCCTTTCAGTCCTTACACAGGTGGGGTGAACGTATAGTTGTGAGTATGCAAATCAGTTTGTTCTTGTATTCTTATTTATTATTGCATTATTTGTATTACACCTGTAAACATACTTTTGCCCACCTCTGTATATTCCATGTTAACTATTCTCTTAAAACCGAAAGAATTACAAGCACTAAAAAGAACCGAATTAAGGTAGGTACCACTGTGGCATTTAATCACAACTTACACACAGCCTCAGGACAAAGGCAAACAGAATCCGAAAGCAGGGGCCCACTGCTTGGTTCGAACTCTCAGAAAATGCTACTAAATCTCAGTTTTAAAAAATAATTTAGCCCTGGCCAGTTTGGCTCAGCGGTTGAAGCGTCGGCCTGCGGTACAGAGAGACCCGGGTTCGGTTCCCACTAGGGGCACATACCTCGGTTGCAGTTTGTCCCCGGCCCTAGTTGGTCATGCGGGTGGCAGCCACTCAATGTGTCCCTTCACATCGATGTTTCTCTCGCTCTCTCTTCCTCTCTCTCCCTCCCGCTCTATCTGAACAAAAAATGGAAAAATGTCCTCGGGTGAGGATAAAAATAAATAAATAATTAATTTACCATTTTAAAAAATATGTATTGACTGATTTCTAGAGAGAAAGGGAGGGAGAGAAAAAGAAAAGGAGCCCTGGCCGGTTTGGCTCAGCGGTTGGAGCGTCCGCCTGCGGTCTGGAGAGACCCGGGTTGGGTTCCCGCTAAGGGCATGTACCTCGGTTGCAGTTTGTCCCCGGCCCTGGTTGGTCCTGCGGGTAGCAGCCACTCGATGTGTCCCTTTCACATTGATGTTTCCCTCTCTCTCTCTTCCTTTCTCTCCCTCCCACTCTATCTGTACAAAAAATGGAAAAATGTCCTCGGGTGAGGATAAAAAAAAAAAGAAAGGGAGAGAAGGAGGTATAAAGAGAGAGAGATACACAGAGAGAGACAAGAAATTAGTTGCTCCACTTAATTTTTTTTCCTTTATTGATTTTAAAGAGAGAGAGCAAGGGAGAGGGAGAGAGAGAGAAACGTCAATGAGCGAGAACACTGACTGGCTGCCTCGTGCATGCCCCCACTAGGGATTGGGCCGGAAACCTGGGCATGTGCCCTGACCAGGAATCAAACCAGTGACCTCTTGGTGCATAGGTCGATGCTCAACCACTGTGTTACTCCATTTATTTATACATTTGTTGGTTGCTTCTTTTACGTGCCCTGACTGAGGATCACACCTGCAACCCTGGCATAGGGGCACAATGCTCAAACTAACTGAGTTACCCAGCTGTGGCCCCAGGCCCCCAAAATGATTTACCTTTAACTACGTAAAATGATTCTATTATAATGTACAGAAATGCAATGCATGTGTGTTCTTGGATTTCTATTTAGAAATAATTTTAAAAACACTTAGAGAGCCTGGCCAGTGTGGCTTAGTGGTTGGGCATTGACCCATGCACCAAGAATTCACCCTTTCAATTCCCAGTCAGGGCACATGCCCAGGTTGTGGGCCCAATTCCCAGTGAGGGGCATGCAGAAGGTGGCCAATCGATGGTCTCTCTCACGAATGTTTCTATCTCTCTTTTCCTCTCCCTTCCTCTCTCTCTAAAAAAAGATCAATTAAAAAAAAATTTTAAACAGAAAAATAATACCTGTATCACACCAAAGTTAAATACTCCAAGTACGTAACTGGATATAAGAAAACGCTTCCGCTGATACTTGTGGTGCAGGACTGGACTCAGAGGCAGCGAGCAGCTTCATCTCAGGGTTCTGACGTACACACACACACACACACACACACACACGTGCGTGCACATGCGCACCTCACCTCTCCTATTCAGGGCAGCACAACAGGGGGCAGCACCTCCGTGCCTCCCACAGCCTTCTCTGTCACGTCCATGGGTCGCACAGCACCAAGTTCTGTCGGTCTGTCCCATAACTGCTCCCACCTCCCTGCCATTAGTCAGCTCATCGCATTCCATCTCCCCTCCTGAATCCTCCTCAGGTCCCACTCTGGCCCCTCCAGCCCAGTCCCTCCTATACAACCAGAGTGGTTCTTCTCAACACAATCTAATCATCTGACACTCCCCTGCTCCCTTCACACTCATCCCAGGAAAGACACAGAACCCTGAATAGCTTCCTGCTGCTCTGATAACCAGAGTTCTTAGCTGTGGCCCCAGGCCTGTTCCCAGCCAGGGCTCCGCCTCACCCAGCCTCGCCCAGTACAGCAATCAGGTTCCTGTGACCACTATAACAAATGACCACAAGCTCATGGCTTAAAACAACATGCATTTCTTCTTATGGTTCTGGAAGTCAGGGGTCCAACCTCCATCTCCCTGGGCTAAGATCAAGATCAAGATGCTGGCATGGCTGGTTCCTTCTGGAGGCCATGGGAGGAGTCCGTTCCAGATCTGCCCAGCTTCTGGAAGCTGCCGGCACTCTGTGGCCCCGGGCCTCTCTCTCACATCACGCTAGCCCATGGCTTCACTGTCACCTATCCTGCTGCTGACTCTTACCCTCCTGCCTTCCTCTTCCAAGAGCCCTGGGCACACTGGGCCCACGTGGACAAGCCTCCCCACCTCAAGCACCTTAACTTGATCAGAGCTGCAACATCCCTTTACCATGTAAGGTAGCAGTTATAATCTCTGGGGATTCAGACGTGGGCCTCTCTGGGGTGCCTATACTGCCCCTGCCTGACCCACCCATGCCCACTCCAGAGTCCCCAGCGATAAGGTTGTCCTCCAGGGCTGGAGCCCAGGCTTCCTCCCATCACACGGGCTCTGCACACATTCCCCCTCCCCTTGATCCCCATGCTGCCAGGGTAACTTCTACTCCTCCTCCAGCTCTAAGCTTTCCTGAGACCCTAGCTGAAGTCAGAAACCCTTGTCTGAGGCCCCCATAGACTGCCTTTCCGATGTTCTCCGAGACCATGTGTTTGTATAACTACAGAGTAGACAGTCATCTCTGTAAGAGACCAGGCCTTTACTTAGCATATTCCCGTTGCATCACAGTCCCGGGCACACGCCGTGATCAACACTGTCACAGAATGAATCCTCCAGGTGCAGGCAAAGCTGTGATTTATGGGACTTCCTTGTGAAAAGCTGCACATGGATCAAGATGCCAAGGATCAAGGAAGATAACAACAGTTTCAAACGTGAACCCAAATCAAGTCCATAGAGTGGACTTGTGGTCACAGGCGTTCATTAGCAGCCAGGCTTCTTCTCCAGTGGGACTCTGCAGGGCACTGCACAGGTGCTCCAGGGTCTCAGGGCTGCACACTGGGTGTGCCCAGGGCCAGTGGACGTGGGTGCAGCCAGAGCATCACAGCACAATCATCTGGACCCAACACGCCCCCAGATGGGCATACCAGACGACGTCTCTACAACACACGAGGCCCCTTCCTGCTGCACTGAAGCTGTGCTCCTCCGCTCTTCGGGGAAACCGCCAGCCCTCAGGCCGCTGAGGCTACCCTTCCCACAGGGGAGAGGGTGCGATCAACCTTCTCATCGGCACAGCTAATCCCTTCCTCAGTGCAGAAACACCGCTCGAACGCACGCGTTTCCACTACCACTCTGGTAACAACGTGCTGGGTTGTTCTGACACACGATCCTCCCGAGGGCAACTAAAGATGCTAGATAGAACACACAAACATCACCTTACAAGGACCAAAGGGCTGAGGAGACACCAGGCCAAAGTCTACAAGAAGGCCGGCGAGGCAACAGTGAACGACAAGAAGCTGAATCAAGTGACAAGTGAAAACTGCAAAGTGAAAGGGACAGCAAGCTCTGAAGAGCTGTGCTCTTGTGGGGGAAAGGCATTAAGAAGGACCTTTTGGCCCTGGCCGGTTTGGCTCAGCGGGTAAAGCGTCGGCCTGCGGTCCGGAGAGACCCGGGTTCGGTTCCCGCTAAGGGCAAGTACCTCGGTTGCAGTTTGTCCCCAGCCCTGGTTGGTCGTGCGGGTGGCAGTCACTCCATGTGTCCCTTTCACGTCGATGTTTCTCTCTCTCTCTCTCTTCCTCTCTCTCCCTCCCACTCTATCTGTACAAAAAATGGAAAAATGTCCTCAGGTGATGAAAAAAAAAAAAAAAAAAGAAGGACCTTTTGCCTTTTATTTTATATGCTTACGCAGTGTTTAAATTTTTACTTTTTTTATTATTATTATTATTTTGCATTTATCTTCAGATAGAGCGGGAGGGAGAGAGGGAGGAACAGAGAGAGAGAAACATCAATGTGAAGGAGACACATCGAGTGATTGGTACCCACACGACCCCAACCAGGGCTGGGGACAAACTGCAACCGAGGTACGTGCCCTTAGCGAGAACCAAACCCGGGTCTCTCCGGTCCTCTGGCCAACAACACTCTAACTGCTGAGCTAAACCGGCCAGGGCAAAATTTTGTTTTAGTATGTTTATTTTTTAACTATAGAATTTTTAAATAAATTTCTAATTAACAGCAAGGTAAAGAACAGACTATGAACTATATTTATTGATTTATTGATTTATTAATCCTCACCCGAGAATATTTTGCCATTTATCTTCAGGCAGAGAGGGGGAGGGGAGGAGGGGGGAGGGGGAAGAGAGAGAAAGAGACGTCGATGTGAAAGACACACGAACTGGTTGCCTCCCGCACGACACCAACCGAGACAAATTGCAACTGAGGTATGTGCCCTTGACTGGAATCGAACCCACAACTCACTGGTCCATGGGCCGATGCTCTAACCACTGAGCAACCCCACCAGGGCACGAATTATATTTAAAAGAGAAAAAAAAATGATAAGTTTAGCCCCCCAAATCCCAAATTAACAAGCATTATGAATTCTTTATTGACCAAATTACTACATTTCTTAGACTTTTAAGAATTTAATGTTTTAGGAGACTTGACTTGGGGTGGTGAACACACAATATACAGATGATGTATTATAGAACTGTACACTGAAACCTATATAATTTTACTAATAATATCACCCCAATAAATTCAATTTAGAAAAAAGAATCTGTTTTAATGTGTGAACAGCTCACGCACCCTGTTTTGCCAGTTAATGATAGTTACCTGGCCCACTGGCTGAATGGTCCCTGCCCTGCATATCAAATTCTCGTGCTTCGAGTTGTCTGTACGTGTTAATATACTCCAGTTCTGCACTCCTCTGGCTAAGTGACCTGCAAAGAATATCGAAAGTGAGTATACTGCTTCCAGGATCCCCATGTGCCAGAGGAATTTTCAAATACTTTTACATTAAGTCACAGAAGAAATGCAAATAGCCAATAAATGAGTAAAAAATACACTCAAATTCACAGTCATTTACCAAGTAGATGCAAATTAAAATGATGAGAAGCCATTCTTTCATCCTTCAAATTGGCAAAAAAAAAAATGCTTAAAGCTTACAGGGAGGGTGGCAAATGGGTCTCACATGTCCTCTGAAGGGGGAAAACTGCCGGGGTCTGTTAGAACCAACACCTGCCCCTCAGCGTCTTCCTCGGAGGTACTGCACATGCAGGCTGGAGGCGGTGCCAAGGTGGGCGTGCACGCCCGGTCCATTCAGCTAATGCTGACCATCAGCAGCAGGTGCAAAGCGCTGTCTCCCGGAGGCACAGCCGTGAACAAAGTAAACCTTGGCACTCAGGGACCTGTCCTCCCAGGGAAGGAGACACAACACACCTACAAAACACTCATTCATGACAGGGAGGGTCTCAGGGATTCCAGGGAGGAAGGCTGCCTTTCCATCTACCTGTGATGGTTAAAACAGAGGGACCAGATAAGCTACGGCACACTCTTCCCTAATCCTTATCACTTTTAAAAAATGCCATATGGGGCTATACTCGGACTAATAGATATGAATGTCCAACCCAGCCCTGGTCAGTGTGACTCAACTGGATGAGTGTTGTCCTGTGCACCAGAAGGTTGTGGATTTGATTCCAAGTCTGGACACATGCCCAGGTTGTGGGTTCAATTCCTGGTCAGGGTGTGTGCAGAGGAGGCAGCTAATCAATGTTTCTCTCTCTCTCCCCGCTTCTTTCCTCTCCAAAATCAAATTTTTCAAAAACATCCAAAACATTCCATAAGAAAAGACAACTGCACTGTGACATGCAAACTATGTATCATCGCAAGTAATTCGGTTTTTAATTAATTAATGAGCAATGTCTAACTTGAATGCATTGCTATCCGAGAAAAGACGATTCACATGCTAAAATGTGAGGCTGACTTTAATAAAATGCTATCTATCTGCATTAAAGTCGCCTTCTGATTTATACGAATGCTCTCTGAGCATTCTTTTGGTTACTATTTCCTGGTATTTACTCATTAGTTCACTCAACAAAGCCACGGGAAGGGCTGACTCCAGGCCAGGCACTGTCCTGAGACAGCTGCTCTCGCGGAGCCTGCAGTCTCGCTGCAGGATGAGAAGTGAAGCTTAGGGTGTTAGTGACAGGACCCCAGAGAAAATGCAGCCAGCAGAAGAGAGGGGCAAGGAGAGATGCAATGTTAACAGGGTGATATGGTGACATTTAAGCAAAGGTCAGAAGAAAAAAATGAGAAAGGCCATGCAGGTCTGTACAGGAACACAGGTGAAGAAGGGACAGAGCGGTACAGCGAGTGTCGGGCAGTGAGGCCTGGCTGGGACAAAAGACCTGCTCTGGGCAGAGCAAGAGGAGCCAGGCAGGAAGGGGTGAGGCAAGACTGCAGAGAGCCTCAAGCAGAAACCCCATATTTGTTCCGCACCCAACATGTTTCCGAGATTTTACCATTTCCGAAACAAACATAAAAATTACAGCAATCAGCCCTGGCAGGTTTGGCTCAGTGGTTAGAGCATCGGCCTGCGGTCCAGAGAGACCCGGGTTCAGTTCCCGCTAAGGGCACGTAACTCGGTTGCAGTTTGTCCCCGGCCCTGGTTGGGTCATGCAGGTGGCAACCACTCGATGTGTCCCTTTCACATCGATGTTTCTCTCTCTATCTCTTCCTCTCTCTCCCTCTCTCTCCTTCCCACTCTATCTGAACAAAAAATGGAAAAATGTCCTCGGGTGAGGATAAAAAAATAAAAAAAATTACAGCAATCAAAGGAGGTCACTGAGAGGAAACGGAAGGGCTCAGCATCCTGCAGTAGGAAGCCTGGCAGGGCAGCGTGTCAGGATAACTTCTCCAGGCACCAGGCAAACGGGACGTGAACACCTTCCTGCTGAAGGTAGTGAAGCCCTACCCTGTGAGCCATGGGAGCTGGCGACAGCCACACACACCTCTGTGTCACGCACGGCATGACACACAGGTCTAACGTGAACCATGTCTATTCTTCACAGTTCATTTGGAGAAAAAGGCACCGTGCAAATATCTACCAGAACTGGCGAGCGGGAGGCCCTGTCCAGTCCTTAGCAGACACGCCCCTGAACCGAAAAGCAGCACCATGAGGCCCATCCACGCCAGCGTGCTCCCAGACAGGAGGTGAGTTTCTACCATGAATTATATGTTCTCACAGCTCTATTTTCTCCTGACCTTAATCTATTACTGCCCTCGCACCATGTTTTAACAGGATTACAAAGTGAATTTTACAGCTACCTACTTAGTGCCTATAACGTCCTCCAGCACTGTAACCCGCTTTCGTACACAAAGGAGCACTACTCAGAAGGAAAAACAAGTACAGGTCACTTACTAAACAGTTCACGCACGACTGACCGCAGCCTTCTTCGCCTGTTTTACTCAATTATAAGGAGCTTTCTCAGAATGTGTATTTTCCAAACAGTCAAGTCTGATCTATCTTTCTTGCTTTCATTACAGAGGACAGTGACCTGGCTTCTAAATGGCCTCAAAGTTCAGCTGAAGAATCAAAGCAACATGGTTATTTTTAGAGCTCTAGAGGCACAAAAATACAGCGCTAAACTGTGACCTGCGGCGACACACAGCAGGCGACGCACAGGCGGCCCTGCGCTGGGAGCACATCTGCCTGCGGTGTTAGCCCCGCATGTCTCCACCCCCACATCTGAACGCACGGAGCACGGAACCAGCAGCTGCCAGCATCTCTCCCCATGGCTGGGTGACATTCAAAAGGCAGACATTATATAATTTGTGAGATTCAGTAGTAAGTTATTTTTGTCATTTCTTCTAGCTTGCTTACCAGGTGAATTAATGAGCATTCTCTCCACATGAAGATTTCACAACCTCGTTCCTAACATAGAAAGTTATTTATTTCAAATGCAGTTTCAGTGGTAAATACGGGGGCTGGTTCCTGCAGCAGGGGACAGCCAGGAGAAGCAGACCTGCCTGAGTGAAACGCGCCTCATCACCAATTCACGCAACATCACCACATCGGACCCACACTTACCAGGTACGCTTTAAACCTTGTCTGCCCAAAACCTGAGTAAAAGTAGGTTTCTGGATAGCACTTTACTGTACTTTCATATTTTAAAGCCTCCTAAGAACTTTTAATAGCAAGTGTTAAGTGCTACTTTCAGAATATGTCCAGTCTGCAGATTATCTGTAACTTTGTATATTTCATTTCTGCTTAGCTACATAAAAATATTTTCAAAGCTTGGTTTTTGGCACTGACCTACTTAGAAACTGAAGGACTTTAATCCATGTTCTAATCTTACTTTGACCTGTATATCTAACCACTAGGAAATTCATTCACTTTTCTGGCAAATTTATTATAGAGACAAATATTTGCTCATCACAACTATAACATTGGATACAAATAAACAAGTGCAAACATTTCCACAGGGCTAAAAATGCCACTTTTTGGCTGGATGAAATGGCCAAAACACTCCGCCTACAAACCCCCACACCGCCCTGGCTCGGATGCGGTGGCCAAGACGCTGCTCCGGGAGCTGCACTGGCACCTGGAGGAGCGAGAGGCGCTGCTGCAAGAGATCGGCAGTGAGCAAAGAGGGAGGGAAGCGGGCGTGGAGTACCCCCGGCGGAGAACCTACCAGAATCCCCACACCACCATCCCAGCTACTGAGCAAAGGCGACTTGAAGCTCTGTGCTCGCGAGTGCAGCCCTGCCAAACAGGAACCATTCTCAGCAGGTAAATTCCTCCTTTCTTCTTGGTGATACCTGTGCTGTCAGTCTAAGTACCTCACGTGTTCAGACCAGAAACTGTCCTCTATACCATAAATTCTTTCATCACATATATCAAATTCCCAGCACCAAAATGCCTAACGAGAAGCTGGGCAGAAAAATCTATTGATGTTTTCCCGGCTGGGAAATAATTTTAAATCACATTCAAAACTCTTTACCAGACATATAATACTAAGCAATGTGCAGACCAGTCCCAAGGCGGGGACCGCTGCACGGCCTCCTTACATACTGCACTTTGGAGACAAAGGGAAATGGCAAAAGATACTGAACTGAAGACTGTTCACTGTTTTCCCTCTAGATTTCGAGAAGTTTTGGCAGAAAACAATGTGCTGCCCTGGGAAATCATCTACATCTTCAAGCAAGTTCTGGAAGACGCCCTGGCTAGCCCTGAGAAAGGTGGGCAGCCGGGGCGCCCCAATCACCCTACTTGCCCAGAGGACAGTGTCCAGAGTTCAGACAAGGATGAGATTCCCACCGTTTCCAGTTACGTGGACAGAAACACGGAGCACAGGCTCCCTGCAATCTCGCGCAGGACGTGGAACCTGCCGCATTACTACCCTTCCAGTGAAGGTGCTGGCAGCCGGAGGCGTTTCTAGGCCCACCTGGTGTCGGATGCTGGGTGCTCAGAATAAGAAAGGTGATGTGACTCCACACTTCTCTGTTGCCTGTGGATGTGTCCTATGTTTTAGACAGTGTTCCTTTCTCAACCTCTAAAAATGCAATGTTTCTTAAAAACTAAAGTGTTTCCTAAATATTTTGAAAAACATGTTTGAAATATTTTCTTATACCTCAAAATATCTCACAGGAACTAAGGCATTTATTTAGTAGGAAGTTTGATAACCTTGACTCCGATTCTGAGAGGATGCTGCACCAGAACAAAGTAAATGGCGCGAACCCTCCCTCCTGACACTGCCTCCCTCCAGGGCATGCTCCCGGCATGGCACAGGGGGAGACCCTGAGAGGAGACCCAAGGGGAGACCCCAGAGGCAGGAAAAACGGGCAGTGTGAAGATAAAGCTGCATCCTAACACATTCGTTTCCAATCTCAACTAAAGTAAGGGGAAGTATGGAAACACTGCTCTGTGTTCTATCAGTAAGGTTCAACATCAGCAGCTGCTCCTCTCAAAGAAAGCAATCCTGATGTATACTTGACACCAATATTATGTTTATTTAAAATAGCAAAATAGCACTGGCCAGTGTAGCTCAGTGGACGGAGCATCATCCCAGGGACTGAGAGATTCTGGTTCGATTCCAGGTCAGGGTACATACTGGGGTTGAGGGCTCGACCCCCAGTGGGGGGCATGCAGGAGGCAGCCGACTGATGTATCTTTCTCATATCGATGTTTCTATCTCTCTCTCCTTTCCTCTAAAAAATCAATAAAAACATATTTTAAACAGAATTTGGATTTTGTCTATGAAGTCCAGGACTAGAACTGATGACCTCACCCCATGTATCAGGACATACACACAATGAAGAGGCCCCAAACACTTCATTCTCCCCCCCAAGGCACCTCAACCAGCCCGTAACAACAGAAGTGACAGCCACAGCACTCCGAGAGGGCCACCCTCCCACTCAGCCAGGGAGAAGGTCACTTCTTAAGTAACTCCCATCAAAGAGCTTGCAGTGACTAAAGAAACTGTGGACAGCTGAACCCCACGTCTCTCTAAGTCCCCACAATACAGTCGATCAACTCTAACCCAGACTTAAAAGCAGGTGGAAAACACTGAGTTTTGGAATTCTTTCTGAGTTTCTATTTCTCTTAGTTTAAGCAATAACCTAATGAGCACGTTTCCTCTGACAGTGTTGGTATATTTAATTTAAAACTATAGCTGTTTCTAGAAAAACCTATAAATCAAATAGACATTTAACAAAAATAACTTCCTGAATATTAACAGATCTACACTTTTATACCTTGGACTGTTTCCAGTACCTGAAGCTGGCAGAGGAGGAGGGTGAAAATGTAAGGGGAACCACATGGAAGCTTCAGGTGTATCACAGAGAGGAAGCACCGGCACGGCTGTCAGCAGCAGCGAGGGCACAGCACGGAGTAAACACACCAACTGGGCAAGAGCATCCTGCAAGCTCACACACAGCGAGCTCTCAAAAGCCAGCACCGTTAACCAGCCCAGCCCAGCATTCCACAGGCCAGGCACTGTGCTAAGTACCGTATGTACACTGTCTTTTAATCCTACCTTGAAAGTAGGCCACACTATTCCCATGTGACAGGTGAGCAAAGAGCCTCAGCCCTGCTCAGTGGTCGAACTCCAGACTCACAGGAGTCAGGCCCAGACAGACTGCCTCAAACCCCAATGTGGCCTCTGAGCTCCACAGGAAAGACAGCCATACCTGACACCTCCTCCTGGATGCCCTCAGGCAACTTCAAATCAACGTGCTCGGACCAGACATAGAGTTCTGTTTTCTAAAAGGATAAATAAAGCCCTGGCCGTTTGGTTAGAGCACTGTGCCCACCACTCTCCACCCCACTGAAGAGTTGCAGGTTTGATCCTGCCCTGGGAGGCAACAAATCAATGTGTCTCTCTCACATCGACATTTCTCTCCCCACTCCCTCCACTCTCTCTAAAAAAATCAATAGAAAAATATCCTTGGGTGGGCATTGACCAAAAAAAGACACAGGAAACATGCTGATGTGACTGGAGAGCAGAGGTGGGATCAGCAGGAGGCGGGCAGTGTCAGGGGGAGGGCTGCCGCCATGAGCCTTGATGAGTCTGCATTTCAATAACCCCCCCAAAGTCATACCTGGGCTCAGGTATGAATGTTTACTCAAGAATTTGTTCCCTCAACAAGTAAACTGGCACCTACCTCACACCAGGTATTCTTCTAGGTGCTAGAATAAATTACTGGGGCAAGGAGGGGAAGCCAGGAGACCACACATAAATTTTATAAAAAGCTTGTGTAAAACCAGGCCAGAGAGATAGAAACATCAATGTGAGAGAGACACATCGATTGGTTGCCTCCCACACAACCCAGAACATGGCCGGGGATTGAACCTTCAACCCAGGTACATGCCCTTGACCAGGAATTGAACCTGCAGCCCTTCAGTGAACAGGCCAATATTCCAATCACTGAGCCACACTGGCCAGGGCTAATTTTTTTTTTTTTTTTGTATCAATTGCGCGCGCGCGCACACACACACACACACACACACACCCCTCAGGGAAATCAGCTGGGGCCAGAGGAGCAAGGCAGATTTTACTATTCAATCAAGGCAGGAACAGATGAGGAAGCCACTCTCATCAATTCTAGAATAAGGACCCTGCATGTCAGAAGCACTCGATAAGCAGGACCTACTAAGGCAGTTCATTCACCCTAACAGATATGCGAGTTCCCACCATATGCTAGGTGCGGCACTGAGAGCTGGAGATCCAGGGGTAACCTGTACTCTCAAGAAGTTCTAAGGTAGGAAAACAACACATGAAGCAAGTTCATCAGAGCATGAGAGATGCATGTGCAAAACACTAAGCAAGAGCTGTCCCCTCAGTGGCTCGCTCCCTCGGTGCCCCTCTGACCCTTCCAGCTGTCCCTCAGTCTCCTCTGCTCATCCCGTCTGCTCGACCTCTAAACATTCAAGAGCTCCAGGCCTGGGTCCCTGGATCTCTCCTCGCTGCATTCACCCACCAGGATCTACCACACCGAATCTGGCTGACCTCGTCTAATGGGTGTCCAAGCCTTAAGCTCCCCAACATGTAGCTCCACACAGACTTCTTTACTCAGCGCTGGGCTGCCCACACTGACTCCTGGTATTCTGCCACACACCAGTCCCCCTGCAGTCCTGTCCTTCACAGTGGATGGCAGCACCTCCCGGTTGCTAAGCCAGAACCTTGGTGTCACCCATCACTGCTGCCTCACTCACATTCTGTATCTGATCCAACTACGAAGTCCTTGTCTCTGTCTTAGGAAAACATCCCAAATTCCACCTTTGCTTACCACCCACACTGCTACCATCCTGGTCCAAGCCCCTGTCCTATCTCTTGCTTGAATGATGTATTGGTGAGGGTCTCCAGGTAGACAGAACCAATAGGATATGTGTGTACATACTGAGAGAGATCGATTTACTTCCAGAAATTCGCTCACACAATGGTAGAGGTGGAAGTCCAGAATCTGCAGGTGGGCTGGCAGGCTGCTAACCCAGGAAAGAGTTGCATTGGGGTCTAGAGGAGTCTAATGACCTCCGGGAGGTCAGGTATTCAGATGATTGCAGGAGGCTACCCACATTATGGAAGGTAATCTACATTACTCAAAATATACCAACTAAAATGTTAATCTCATTCAAAAATACCTTCACAGAAACATCCAGAATATGTGACCAAATATCTGGGCACCATGGAGCAACTAAGTTGAGATGCAAAGTTGATATCACAGGTGTTATCAATAGCGTTCTCTCTGACCTCCCATTTCTGTCTAGGGCCCTCTTTAGTATATTCCACACAGCAGTGCCTCTGTTAGAGCCAGAGTCACATCACATCACAGCTCTGCTCACAATCCCAGTGCCCCCAACAGCTTCTGGCTGCCTCGGATGACCAGCGGAGTGCTCACTGGGAGTGAAGACAACTCCTGATGCAGCTCAGCTACCTCTGACCCCTTCTACTGTCTCCCTCTCTGACCCTCCACTCCAGCTGCAGAAATGGTACAGAAGGGACACTCAAATACTTTAATTCACAGGAAAGTCACCTAATAAACTAAACCTGCTAGAGTCTAAACAAAAAGGTTTTGAAACCATGGACTCTCCCTCCCCCTTTCTCTCTCTCTAAAAAAATAAGAAAGAAAATAAAGAAAAAAAAATTTTAATAAAAGTGATGCTTTCAGTTCTCCAAGTCTAGGGAGCGAGTAAGAGTAGGGGGCAGTACAGAGGGTAGCCTATGGGATCATTCAGCAGTGGAATTCTATGGAACAAAGCGTATAAAACAAAAACAAAACGACCACTCTAAAGCTGCAAAAGGGTCACTCTGTCCCCTCCCTGCCTCCAGGAAACAAATTTACCAAGAGTCCAAGTTGCACGTGACTCTGCAAAGGCCTGAAACATGCCAGGAGAACCTGACGCACCAGATCAGATAGAGCGACATGCAAGATCAACTTAACAAAATTAACAAAAACCACTCTCTCAACGGTAAAGGGTGTTGAACTTGCCGGGAAGGGCCTGGCAGAGATGCTGATACTCCAAGCTAGAGGTGCTTCCACACTGGCCTTCAAAGAGGAAGCAGGTGAGTCTACTCACCAGATCTAGGTCTTCTGAAAACAGAAGGCATCTTTTTGCCTTTTTATTTCCACCAAAATCACATGAACAGACAGCAGTTATTTAAGTCAAAGAACAGTGGGAGGCAGGCAGAGCATTAATACAATCGAACAAAGGTCCTACATTCACACTCCTTGGTATTTACCCAATTGCACTGAAAACTTTTGACCCCACAAAAACCTGCACGTGGACGCTTACAGAAGCTTTATTCATAGTTGCCAAAACATGGAAGGCACCAACATGGGACATTATTGAGCACTTAAAGAAAAATGAGCTATTAGGTCAGGATGGAGGAACATTAAAAGGCTACATTCCTATGATTCCAACTATAAGACATTCTGGAACACGCAAAACAATAGAGATATTTTAAAAGATCAGTGGTGTCTGACCGGTGTGGCTCAATGGTTGAGCATCGACCCATGCACCAAGAGGTTGCCGGTTTGATTCTTGGTCAGGAAACATGCCCAAGTTGTGGGCCAAATCCTCAGTGGGGAGCATGCAGGAGGCAGCCAATTGATGTTCTCTGTCATCGATGTTTCTCTCTCTCTCTCTCTCCTTCTCACTTCCTCTCTCTCTAAAATAAAGGGAAAAAAAATTTTAAAAAAAAGATCAGTGGTTACCAGGGAGGGAGTGGGGGAGGGCAGAGCAGAGGAGACTTGAAGACAGTGAAACCACTCTATACAATACTAATGGTGGACACATGTCCTTGCACATCTCTCCAAACCTGCACCAGAGTGAACCTTCATCTTAACTATGGACTCTAATTATTAAGAACACATCGCACCGGTTCATCACTTGCAACAAGTGTAGCGCACTAAAGCAAAATGTTAACAATAGGGAAATGCTGGGGGGTAGGGGGGAGGTGCACAGTCGTCTGTGCTCAATTTTTACCTAAAAAACTGCTCTAAAAAAATAGTGTACTAATAAAAAACTATAACTCTGTTTCTGGTAGGGA